CTGATCTTGGCTATTGAAAGAGTGTTTGCTCAGTGGTATTCATGATAAACTGTTTTGTATGTCTTTGTTGAACTGAGATAGGAAAAAAAACTAGAGAAAGATGGCCACAAAAAACCGAACTCCCTCAGTTAGCCTGAAAAATTTCTCTTGTACGTCCCTATGTTAAATACGCTGTTCATGTGTGTAAACAATATCCTTAAGTTTGCTGTTTCAGAAAAAAAAAAGAAATTTCCTGACATGCCGTGTTTTCGATTGCATCCTTCGCTCTAGAGACTCAAAGATTCCTCATTTATATTGAACTATAACATAAAAACCAAATAATTCATTTTTAAAGAAATACTATAAATAATTTTCAAGACCGAAAAGAAACTGTTATTGTAAGTGTTATTTCCGCGTTATCACAGAGCACACAAAAATTTACTCGCTTAACCAGTGCATAATCCCATTGCCAGGCTTTGAGGTCGCGTTATCGCAACCAACCTCGAGCGCTGGCGATATCGCAAGCAGGGCAAATAGAACTTTTAGTCTGAGTTCAATCAGAAATGTTCTAACTAAAAATTAGAAACAATTTTAAAAAGTTTTGATTTAAGTTGTCTCTGACATAGTTTGATTTATGGAAATTTTGAAACAAAATTGTGGAAAGAAAGGTTGTAATCCGAGAAAAGTTTTTCCTGACTGCAAAGGAATAAAGTAAAATTAATAGTAGAATAAATATATCATAGTTTAGTTAGTGCAGAGTTGAACGGCGCTGTAGTATCAACTCATTATATCTTTTGTTTTATCATTACACTAAGTATAAAAACTCAATTGAAAGTTTCAGTTTGTGTGACTGTTTGGAGTTTACGAATCTATTTATTGCTCCTATACGGTTTTTCCCTCTGGTGAGACTCTCACTTGTGCACTTCTGCTGCTGTTGTTAACCTCAACAAGTTTTCGTTTGATCGGACTATTGACTTTTTTGTACTTTTTCATTCCATTTTCCCCACTAAAGGCAACGGACACAATGCAATTGATGGTCACCGTTTCCAACTTTATGGGAGCAGCAGTTGCCTTGATCTTAACGTCAGCTTTTGCAATGTTTCATTCGTAATATTAAACATTAGGTTTCTTGTGTTGATCTTTTCTCGAAGCGCCATTCTATTTTTCCAGACTTGCGTTTTGTCCTCGAAGTAAATGGAAAACACCTGTTTCACCAAACAGGACATGACAAGCTTTCACACCTTCATTTTGACTGTTATACCCAAAAAACTCTTGAAAATTTTTAGGGTTACCATTGTTACGTCTCTCTCATTCTGCGCATCCTAAAGAGGGTTCAATATTAAAAAACTATCTTTTCTTGAAAATCTTTCTTGAGCATGCAGTCTTTCAGGCAGGTCTAGTTAATTTTTTTCAAACCCTGAATACTTTATTGTTGAGCACCTGAAATCATTTTAAGCCCATCCTTTTCTCTTTGTAACTCGCTCACCTTAGTGTCACTTGTTTTACTTGGGATGCTTGTGATTTTAGTATCACTTGATTTACGTTATTGTGACACCTCCGCGAGTGGCGTAGGCCTTTGCGGTGGTCTGGTCGGCAGTAATAGGATCTATCACGGTGTATCCTGGGGATTTGATCTGAGCTTTTGGGCTGTTGGCCTGGTACTTTTACTTCCTATTGCTAACATGATGTCGTCGTCGTTTTACTAAGACGGCTGCAATATACCAACAGTTTGGAATGAGGCCATTTCTACCGGCGTCAGTCGACGCATTGCCCAGATCTCAAAGACGTAAGTGCGAACCTTGGAGAGCATTGCTTCGGTAAACGTAAACCTTGAGGGTCACTCGATTTTTTTGCATGGCGCTTGCCATGTTTGGATCCGGCATTAAAAGCCACCAGACGCGTGTCATTAGTAGTCTAGCAGGTCTTCGGATAGAGACGACTATTCTCACAACTTTCTGTGTTAGTGGAGACCAGGAGCGGGGGACTGTGTTCTACAGAATCTCCTGATAATTGTGAAAGCTGTTTGTGGAAAATGGACTAGCCCAAAGTTGCCATGAATGGTATTCGCCACAATGCTTTTAGCACTGTGGATCCTATGATGTAATCTTAGGAAGCGTTTTTACCCGGTGATTTTAAAAGTTCGGGTTTGTAAGGTGGGTAGCTAGGCAACTTGATACCCTTAAAGAATAGTGCTCTTGGTGAAACTAACTCTCAGTGATTGCCATTTATGGCCATGTGAATACTGAGGACTCACGGAACCTTGGGCAGGAGTAGAGCTCGCAGCCGTTCCCAGCAAAACATCTTGTTATTCAACATCCATGATAAATAATCCGTCAAATAAATATTTTAAGAAATTACATGTAAATTTTGATAACAAAAAATAGGGGAATTACTAGTTAAATGAAGTCGATGGGAAGGAAATCTAATTGATTTAAGCTCACTTGTTTTGAATCAGATCAACCTCACGGTTCTTAATAATCAATTTCTTTTATCAATGTCAATTTTAGAGATTCTTTTTAAACGAAAATTTCTGGCCAGAAAGAGAATTAGCAAGATTTTATTTCATTTTAAGTTTCAATTCAAATTCTCGTCTTCTTTGCTTCTCGAGGTCAACCGACTGTTAGTTAAGTCTCGTGCTCTGTTTCTGTACGTGTTTTTGTCAAATAGAACAATTTCACACAAAATTTTAAAGTTTTGAAGTTCTAGTTTTTTTTGCATTTTTCTTTCTACCATCTTACAATGCTAAAATTGTTTGTGGCATCCCAGGTAATTCAGGCTTTGTCTCTGTGTTGAGATCTACTTTTCAAACTAGCGGAGCAAATGATTTTGGGTTGTCACACAGAAAAGACACATACATCCGTCAATACCAATTTTTATTTTTATATCAAATGTTTGTTTGTAATTTCAGGTTTTTGCCTTAGGAGAAATGAAGGTATTAGTTTTTTTTTTTTTAGCTTTTTAGCGTTTAGTTTTTGTACTTTTGATTGCCATGAACGGCTCTTGTTTTCTCTACGGCGATTTATTGGTACAAATGTGCTGGTTCAGATACCAAGTTAGCTGAGATGAATATGAACTTGCGAGAACAAGTGGATTGCCGTTGAATTTATAAAGTTTCGCATGCTTTATATTTTATTAACAAAGTGATCAATTTTGGCAGAAACCCCTTTTTGTCTGCTGACGTGATTTGTAAAACAACCGTCCTTAGGTCAGCACCATCTATCGTTTTTCTATTGGGAGCAGATTTTCTCCTGTGTTTTAAAAGGAATTGATTTTCCGAGCTATCACAAAACACTATCGAGACCTTAGTGTGCCAAAAATTTTAGAAAATTTTACAATTAAGTCAAAAATGACATTTGGACACGATTTGGAAAGTTTGAGCCAAAAATTGCGTTTTTTTAGCGGCCCCTATTTAGGGGCGGATCTAAGATTTTCACGACGGGGGCGGATATTCAAAAAAATTCGAAAATTTTGTCGACCTTTTTTCTAGGTCAACCAAATCGATTTGCTGAGCTCTCCTAAACCTTCCAAATCACTGTAAAGATCCTATTTTGACAAAATTTTCTGCCGCAGGCAAACGTTTGAAAAAACAGGCCAAAAAACAGCGTTTTTAGTAACTTTTTGGAAAATTTGACGCGTTTTTTTTGGCGCGCGCTCTTCCCTCAAATTTAGTATTTATTGGCGCCAAAAGCGCCTTTAGAAAAATTTTAGGGTCAGTCAGCCGAAAACGGATATGTCAAAGGGGGGCACTATGGGTCGGCAGGGGGTCGAATCCCCTTTTGCATCCCAAATGAGAATAAAACAAAGCATCATTCTCGGGCCGGAACCACGTGACTTGTGCAGCGACTATAGTAGTCACACATCTGATCATCTCGTGACCAAAAACTCACTCACGGCGAAGTTCAAGTCGCACAATAGTTATAGCAATTTAAAAGGTAGGGTAATTAGCTGTTGAAAATGTTGTTTGTTTGTTCATGTGCAGCTGTACATAGTGGCAGTGAGTGTGGTGGTTGAGGGTCTGACCATCTTCGACTTTGTGAGGTCCCAGTACTTCTACTTCTCAGAGGATCTCCTCACCAGTGTTGCCTTAGCCACGTGTGGATTCATTATGCTTCAAGTGGCAGCAGAGGTAAAAAAAAACTTACAACAAGTAGAACAAAATGTTCAGACCATATTCAATAAAAAACTAGAAAAAAAGATTGTTTTTAGTGAGCTGAGTAGTTTGGCTCGATAACTTTACCAGCGCGTAATAAGTTAGTGAATTATGCAAGATCGGCAAAATTATTTCTCAAAAAAATAATACCAAACAAAAACATGAAAAAAATAAGATTTTAAGAAAGTTGTCTAATTTTTTCTACAATGTAAGAAAAATACTTGTTTGTGGTTCCTGATTTTTCTTGGGAAAAATAGTTTTTATTTTTTGTTGAAAATATGTTTATTGCCAAATAAGCACTATAAGCGCTAAAAGAAGCATCCAAAACTATTTTTTTGGTAGTAAAATTAAGTTTTGTGCGCCTAAAAGTATTTAAAAATAGTTAATTTCCATAACACGAACTTTACTCGCTCGAAATTGAATTAACTTTTAAACGAATCACGACTGAAAGGGTTTTTATTTGGTATACCACTCGACACTTTCCAGTGATTATTTATGGTACCTGATTTTGCTTGGAATTTTTTACATCTAAAGGAAGGCCTTGACGCCTTGAGCTCATATTTGAAAACATATTTTCCTGATGATTGAAGAGCTTTTTGCTTTCTGAGGTATTATGGGCGTTGAAAATTGCCTATTTGACCAATTTGGACAATTCAACGCGCGACATGTTAACGCTTCAGAGCTACATTGATCTAGCTCAGAAATTGCTCCGAACTGATTTAAACAAGCTTGTGTTTTATTGTTTTGCTTCTATACGCTGAATGCGTCACTTTGCACATGACCTAGCGTGAGGAAGATTTTCAGAAAAAAATTAACTTTGATGTTCATTTTTTGGAAGTTTGACCAATTTTAAAAGTAACCAGAAAAACTAGTTCAGAAACGTAAAAAGACATTTGAACATTCATTGCTTCGCCTTGATTCGAATAGTCTTTTTTTTCACGCCTAAGATTTTTTTTCAGCTAGTTTACAAATAAGTATCAAGGAAGCCGTTTGTTGTCAGACTGCCCAGGTTCCAGTTTGTGGTTTTATGAAAGCGTGAAAAACTTATGAAAGCGGTTTTATGAAAGCGGTTTTATTTATCGCTACCAAATATTGGCACTTCTAGACTGCGGCGACTTCCAAAATTGGGGTAATTCCAGACCACCGCGACCAAAATTTAGTATTTACAGACGTTGCAGACTGATATGCGCCGTGTCGGACACGACTCAAAAAAAGTTATCCGCAACCGGGGCAACCAAAAAAATACTTTATTGCGACCGGCGCAACAGGAGAAAATTTAAGCTCTACTGGCGCTGATTTCGCGACCGTTGCAATTTTTGTGCGCTCAAAATATTCAACTAGTAAGTTTAGTTTAAATAATCCATATATTGATTGCTATATGACAATTATTGTAATGCATCTGAGAAATGAGTGTTTCAAAAGAAAAAAATTAGCTTCTAATGGAAACTCGGTTTTTTATTTGTTCATTATTTTCTGAGACTTGAAGCTTCCATTGAGTTATCTTTTCAGCAAACGTTTACTTTCAAATAACGATTTTCAGACTCATGCTTGAAACCATGTGTAGTTTCTAAGTCCAGATTTACTTTAAATCTGTCGCGACCAATTTTAAGTCAGCCTTCTTGACTTTCTGCAGAAATTATCGCGACTCAATTTCAGACTACACTGCGACATTTTTCAGACTAACGGGACCAAAGTTTCGATTTTTCTGCAATTGTAAAACCCTGTCTACACTCATGATTCAGTCGCGGAATTAACATCATTTTTTTAATCTAAAAGGTAGTCGCAAATGGTGCATATACAAAACAGTCCCGTACAAAACAGTCCCATACAAAACAGTCCGAAACATCAAAAAAAAGTTCTAAAAAACAGTCCCATACAAAACAGTCCAAAACCAGTTGAATTTCTTGACCTTGATCTTTTGGCGCCGACAGAATTGATCTACGCTTTGAAAACTCAAACAGGGGCAATTAAAGATCAAAGAGCCAAATTTGGAACAATAGTTTGAATGAAATTCAAAGAACTCATGGTATAGTGGTTAAAACGTTAGTCTCAAACTTTAGAGATCAAACTATCGAAACTCCGGCGGCACAAAATATTTTCCAATTTACCGAAAAAAGTTGAAATTCGGGTAATATGATAGCGGGTATAGCTAGGGTACAACAAAGGGTTCAACCTTAGAGGGTTGGGCGGAGGGAAAAGAAAAATCAACACCTTGTAAGTATTCATTATTTTGCTGGGTTCAAATCAACTCTAGCTCAATTTTGAAAAATCAAGAAAATTTTTGGGAATCACCTTAAAGAAGACTGAGAAGGCGACAATAAGTTGATTCCTTTTTGTCGGGTAGCAGAGCGTAAACAATATGGATAAGGCATCCTTCAACAGAAGCGTGTATAGTATAAATCTGATAGAAAACATTGGGAGCAGTCGACAACGTTCCATCACAGAACCAGTCATCCGATAAAGATAGTAAGTCTAATCCAGGTAACGTGGCGAACACAATAAACCATTTTTGATCTTGGGGACTAGAATCGTGAAGAAGGGACTGCTCTACATCGTGGATTTTCTGTAGAGCTAGCGGCAGTTCAAAGCCAGTCAGCGATGTTGGCTCTGCCATCTTTGGTCTTTTTTTGCGTCGAACTCTATTTACAGCTCGCTGATTAGCAGAATAACTAGGTAAATAAACAGCTGTTTCTCGGTTCACATCACTTTGGGCTGCGAAAATAGTCTGCCGCGGTGTTACATTGGAAAATGCTGCTCGATCTTTAAGTGTTTTTCTGAACTTACGTTTTTCGATGGCAGCTGGATCGAGGAAGTGGCAGTGATCTTTAACGATTTCAACGGAGTCCTCCTTTATACGCACACGGCCATTGCAACTACTTTGTGCGCAGCGCCAGGAAAGGGAGTCGTCTGCCAGTGTTCTGTGTTTAATATAAGCATACCCTCCAAAAATCAGTAACTGAGAATTTTTTTTTGTAAGTATGATTTACTTCGATAGATAGTGAATTTCGTTTCTACTGAGTGTTGTCAAGTGTTTGCAAATGAAACAGATTGAGCAATCTGTCTCTTTTTGCTTGGATTAAAAAAAGAGTCCATTTTCTTAAATTGCGCTAACATTAATGTTTCGAATATTATTGCTTTTATTGAGTGGCCGCTGCCGTTATCTAGGTTGTTCTAAATTCTCTCCTACACTACCTATTGTTATCCGGATTAGTTGGAATCAAAATGTGTTTAACACGAGATAAATGTACTCATCAGCTTCTAGATCAATTATCACTTCGATCAATAGGACTGTTTTTGGACTATTCTTTGGACTATTTTTGGGACTGTTTTGTATGGGACTGTTTTTTTGTACTTTGCTATGTTTTTTCGGCCCAGGTGACTACCTAACTAAATGGGGCAGAGCACGGATTCGACGTAATTTTCACTCAAATGTCGGAATCTCAACGATATTTCGGATGGAAATGAGAAAAGCGGTTTGAGATTGTAAATTCAACCTAAAGAGGCTATGAAAACAATAAGAATCACCTATTGCCGTGCATGTAGCTCGGTTATGTCCGATGAGTTATTTTAAGCTCTTTTTATGTGCTCAGTTTCATTTTCTAGAATTCTGCAACATGAAATATAAGCTAATGCCTTCTGACGAATTTTTGTGATACCTGATCTTTCGAAGTAAAAATTATAGAAAAACTAAAACAACCAAAGCAAAACTCCTCTCAGTTTTTGTAGTGCAAGATGTTTTGGGGTCAGAATTAGTGTATAGAAAAACTTTGTCAAAACCTCATCTAAATTACCACCTAAGAGTTAATATCATTTGTGCGCTCTTTATTCTAATTTGGTTTGGTATTAAGCTTATCAGACTGATTTTCCTCGACAACCAGATAAGTTGTATCGAAATTTTTGCCGGTGAAATCATGACTGGGAGCGGTTGAGTATGATATTTAGTTCGACCCCCTCTTGAACTTATTTGTATTCCAGAAATTTTTGTGGAAAAAAGTTTCTGAACTCGAAACTGTTTTCATCTTCAGTGGTAGAAACAAAAAAACTAAATCACGCATGATTTAAGATGGCTACGAAGTAAATTTTGCTGCTTCAGTTCCTTCCGCCAAAAAAAAATAAAAGTTCAATTTCGATGCAGCAATAACTAGCAAAAGGATCTAACATTTTCCTTATAAAAATGTGTGGGTCTCTTTTGGGTCACCCACACTGATTTTACGAGATCATCTGAAACACTCAAAATTCCTTATTTTCTCGAAAAATGGACTTTTTAGTCTAGCTGCCAAAATTTGCGGTAGTTTCCCTACTCATGCAAGAATTTTGCAAGATTACTTAAGAGAAGATTCATCGCTTTAAAAGATATTGTGAGATTCTTGCAAGATCTTGCGAGATAACCTCCTTTAAAGATAATATTTTTTTTACAAGACCTCTAAAGAGTTTTAATTTTTTTGGCAAAAACAACTCTGCACGCGAAAAAACCAAGTAGCGTTCTTGGAGGAAGAGCAATTTTAGCTAATCATAAATACATACAAACGGCACGCGGGGAGGCTGACGCCAGAAAGCTTTTTTTTTGTGATAGGTGGCTATCCTTAAATTTTGATCGACAACTTTGAGCTAAATCTCACTATAGAAAAAAATCAATTTTTAACAAATGAGAGCAAAAATTTTAAGACATAAATCCAAGCAAAGATAATTACTAACAGCAAATGATGAATATTAAATCAGGTTTTCCCTCAATTCCGTTTTTTTCTATTGGTTTTTCTGATGAGTCGTATGTCAATTATGCTGATAACCTTTTCTCTGATTGTAGTGACTATGGTAGTGGCTAGTGGCGGCTCTCATTTGGAGTTTTTTAGTGCATTTAAGATAACATTGTTTGCAAATAAATCCAAAATTGAAAATCTCGATTACCAAAAACAACTAAGTACCCCATCTAGAGCGCCGCTTGGCCGCAAAATTCATCTTGATGATCGATGTTGTAGTCTGCTGATGACTTTATTTTTAAATTATTTTCAAAATCAAAGAAAATATACAAGTGCATTTTTCAAAAAAAAGAAAAGGAGTTTTCTCGGAACTCGTCACAGAAATTTGGAAAGAACGAAAAAAAAGAGTATATGAAATAATATTAACTTGTCGATGACAATTTAACATGGTAAGGATCTTTTTTTTCTTGGGTGTGTATTGTTTTTTTCTACTTTTTTCTTCCACGCTAAGTTTGGTACCACAAATAATCTTTAAAACAGGTCAAGTGAATTATCATATTCAAGCAAAAAGAATAAAAGTTTCAAAAAGGTGTGTCAGTGCCGAGAAAAACCGGTCAGAATTTTTTTTAGATTTAGTCAAATTTTTAGGGTGTAAAGCGATCGAGTATGAAAAAATTAGTACTTTAGACTGAGAAAACTTAGTAGAAGATCTTGCAAGATAACATCACTCGATCGACAAGGCTTTCGCTGACTTCAGGTTTCGGAGAAGGGTCTGGAGGCACTGACGTTTGGCATGCTGATGACTAACTGGACCATCAGTGCCAGCTTCAGTGTAATCATTGGCAACATCATTTCAGCGCCATTCCGAGTCAACGGTGCGTTCAAAGATAGCAACATCAAATTTTTTAAAACTTAGAACATATGAAGTTGAAGGAAAATAAACTTTGGATATAGGTTTTTTTTCAGATAAAATCGGATGCCACAATAAACGTCGCATGGTGTCCGATGATTTATCAAATAAAGCACAGTCTTGATTTTACAATTAATATAGTTATCTTTTTTAACGACTTTATCTATTTTAATAATACTTTGTTTTATGGTGTGTGTGTGTGTGTTTTAACCAAATCGAAGAAGGTGAAAGCCTAGTCCTTCAACATAACAAGGCTCTTGTTTCAGACGACGAAAGATACCACCGAGACTCACTAGAGGATAGATGGGCCGTGTTCGGGTCAGTTCTCGCTGCCAGCTGCGTCAACGTCCTCGCAGTTCCCGTCTTCGTGTTACTTTGTCCCTCGGACCGAAGTGAAGTCAAGGCACTGAAAGCGTCTCTTGGTAAATCAAAACTACAAGCCCAGATATATGCTGCAGTGTTTTGTCTTGGATACGTGTTTATATTTGTGTTCAACGCAATGATGATGATGCCGCAAACTCAGTGTTATGAAATTATTGGCGGAGAAGGCTGCAACATTTAGTATGATTTTTGCAAATTTGTAATTTTTGGAGTTTATAAGTTTTGTAAACTTTCAAAATTTTCATTTTAAATTTGATGTATTTTAATAAACTGCTGCTACATGATGTAGATAACAATATTCATATACAAACTATTATCTGAGGTACAAGCAGAAATTTCAAGCCTTTCTTATCATTTTTTAACAGTATTTAGCAATTTTGAAACGTCTCATGTAGAATTGGCTGGCTAACTTAGCTTGATAGATTTTTATCATAAATGAAACATAATCATGGGCTTTGGTTACTTTGTTTTACTGCTATTAAAGTAGCCTCTCCCATTCACCATCTGCGACCAATTGTGAACGCGCATATTAGATTTCCTGATAATCCACCAAGTTTGTTGAATACACCGGGCAGGTTCCAGAAAAGGCTCCTCCAAGAAGTGGAACTTGCAAATGCCTCCAACCTTCCTCCTAAAAAGGGGCAGCGCGACCAAAAAAACCGGTGTTTTTGGTCATATCATTTTTAGGAACGGCCTGGACCCTTCTCTTATTACAGTACCATTTCAGAGATCAAACCAATATTTCACTCAACACCAAACACCACTCATCGACTCATCAACTACTCACTCGCCCGCTCACATTAAACTACTCATATCAAATTACCCCCACGTCCCTCCCAATTTAACACACTCGACATCAACCAGAATCCCTGTCCAAAAAATTTCCAACCACAACCAAAAAAACTCCGATTCCCCCAAGCCCTACACGCAATACGCCAACAAATAATACACCACTCGGCATAACCGAAAGACCACCCACTTGATTCTATCAACCCTATGACTCATCTAGAAAACGTCAACGGCGGCAAGGCACCTGAATTTTCCTCTACCTAGAAACTAACAGAATCCTCATTGAAGTTAGACTACAATAAATTACGAGAAATCATGTCGCAAATCATTAATTTAGGTATTTTAAAACTGTTTTGTAATACTTGGTAAGTCTTTTGTAAATCGTTCACAAAATTATTCTGATTTGCATTGGGATTGTAGATTGTTTTTTTTTTACTTTTAAGGTTTCGTTTTTTTTGCAATAAATTTTGTTAGCACTTTGCTTTTGGTCCAAAATGCTAATTTTGCAAAAAAAATTAACGACTTAACTTTGCTCTATTCGTAAGGTCTAATTTACTTTCCATCTAAGCTCCTGTCACCCAATCTCATGATTTTGCGTGCTTTCTTTTAACCAGGCAATAGTTTTTGTTACTGACGTTCCTTCTCACGTGTGTGTTGAATTCTTGGTCTAAGTTCTGCTTTCTGCTAACATACATTTTTCCGATTGAAATTAAACTTCAAGCTGGACGCAGCAAAACTCTTCGTTTTTTTAGACATTAAATTGGAAAAATGTTTCAATCATATTTTTGTCTCACTAAGTTTGAAAGCGAATTAGTTTCTCTGTTTAAAATTAAACTCGACGTCTAACGCATGAAAATCAAAAATCAGTCACCAGGGCTCGGCCAGGTCTTTTAATTAAATAAAAAAACTGATTTTTTGGTTCATCCGGTTTTTTCCGTTGTAACACTCATGTAAAACCAGTAAGTAGAGGATACGCTTTTTGTTTTGATAAATTAGTTTTGCTAATATCTTTCAGTTTTTTTCAATCGCACAACGAATTATGTACAAAATTTGAGCGAACACTTTCTAAAAAAAAATTTTGCATGTAAAAAAACTAGTTTTTTTTTGTGTGAATAACGTAATCTTGGATACACAAAAATTAATTTTTTTTCCATTTTTCAGGATAAACTTTTTCAAAAACGCTCAAGACGCCTATTTGTTTTGTATGGCGTTTTTTTGTATGCTTTGGTCAAAGCACGGTTAAATAAAAATACAAATTTTAAAAAATCACCTTTGAAAGCTTTTGCCTAAAAATAATAGCTTAATACTTTTTTCACATCATTGTCTCAAGACAAAACTAAAACATATGCGTGCCGTTTCCAATGCATTGTATCCAAGACGTTTAAGCATTTGGTGACTCACTTTTGAGTAACAAGGGTTTTTGCCACTTGTGTTCGGTTACGAAGACAACCCAAAAAATTTGAGAAATAAAATTTTAAATAAATCTAATTTTATGGTTTATGGAAAAATGCTAGTCATACAGTTGCCATATTTGAAAACTCACTAATCATAGACCTTTTATGCAATTTTTTGTTCTTATGGAATTACATAAAAAGTGTATGACTGGCATTTTCCATATATGAAAATTGTATGACTAGCATTTTTTTGTAGCTAATGTGTAGGGCAACGATTGCTGGGGGCAAGTTTATCCTACTTGCAAATTGAGTTTGGCGATTTTCAAAAAAAATGTTTTCGTTAAGCAATAATAATAATGATAATAAAGAATTTAGGAATAAAATCCAAGGGTTCGCATAAAACCCAGTCGTTGCAGTGTTCATAATTTAGTTTTCAGTTATAAGTGTAAGTTTATTTTGGTCTCTACAGTTGTTGCATTCGCATAAAATGCGCCAAGTGCATGTATCTGATTCGTTGTAGCGAGTTTTGAAAAACTTCGTGTACCTTCGTAGAAGTCTGTTTTTGCATTCTGGGTCAAACAATATGTCCAACAAATAATTAAAGAGGCCCAGAATCAGTCAAAAATATATATTTCTCTTCAGAAATAACATCGTTATATAACTACTCTAGCTGCAGTATCGTGGAAAAAATGCGCCACGCAGGATTGAACATATTTTATTACCGTTAATTAACTCCTATTCATTAATTCCGTTTTTATCGTAACCGAATTAATTTTACTAGACATTAAATGTTAATGATTTCTCTGATTCCTTGCTGTAAACGACTCAATGATTTGTTTTGTTCTAGTGTTTAATGACGTCTGCAAAAATCACAATAGAGAGTGTCATTTTCCCCTTTTTAACCTTAATTTAAAATATAAAGCATGTCAATTTCATGAATTCTGGTCTACATAACAAGTATTGCATGACCTTAATTGGACTAATCCAATGATAAGTTTCAAGAAAAAAAGGGACAAATACTGTTGGAAAACGGTAGAGCTAGTTGCAAACTAAATCTGTAGGTTGTTAATCATGAATTCAGGTAGAGATACGCCCAGACCAAACTGGCAATACATCGAAATGATGTTCCAAAGATCGCTCACAGAGAAAGCTTTCTGATGCAACGCAGTTGAAATTTGAGACAAAATCTGCGTCAATGCAATGTCGTTAAATGTCAGATAAAGCATATCCCTTCCCGCATACGAAGCTGCCATCCATTGGATGAAAAACTTCAAAGTCGGGTTGCCACCGAAAGACCCGCATCCCCAATTGCCAGTAGCGACAGCTGTTGGTTTCGTCTGCGATCCTGTTGCCGAGTTACTGGTATCGGGTTTTTGGAAACCGACATAGGCTTTGTTCAACTCTCTAGTTAGTGTCGGCTCTTTGAATTGTTCGTTAGGGGGGAGATGTCCTACAGGAAGGGCGTCGATTGCTACAACCGTGACTAGTTTTCGTCCGACTGAATCGACTGCATTCGGGTCTATGTAGTCTGCGACGAATCGAAAACTGCTTCCGTAGCCCGTACATTCACTGTATCTTTCAGCACCTGAAAGCAAACAAAACAGATTTGTTGAATTTAGTGTCGAATTTAGTCGAATTTACATCAAAATTAAGAAATCTTCATATTTTAATCGAAACAAAAACGCTGCAGAAAAGAAACTTTTGACACTTCCAGGGGCGGATTTAGGGAGGGAGGGGGGGGGGGCGGACGCCCCCCCTTAGGGATTCGACCCCCTGCCGACCCAAAGGGTCCCCCCTTTGATACTTTTTCAGAAATCCATTTTTGGCCGACCGACCCTAAAATTTTTCTAAAGGTGCCTTCGGCGCCAATATATACTAACTTTGAGGGGGAGCGCGCGCCAAAAAAAACGCGAATTTTTTGTAAAACTTTTTCAAAAAGTGCCCAAAAACGGCTTTTTTGACTGTTTTTTCAAAAGTTTGCCTGCGGCGCAGAAAATTTTGCCAAAAAGGGGGCAAAACAGTGCTTGGGAGAGCTCGAAAAATCAATTTGGTCGACCTAGAAAAAAGTCGTCAAAATTTTCGAATTTTTTTAAAATTCCGCCCCCCCCCCCCCCCCCCCCTCGAGAAAATCCTAGATCCGCTCCTGGACATTTCGATATTTTTTTCAATTATTGTTGACTGATTGTTTATTTAATCTATGTACCAGAGTAAAATGATGCATGGTGATTTTTTATATTTTTTCGCTGTTAATTTTGACGGAGATCTTGTTTGCGAACATGGGAATAACAAGGGCTAAAGGTTTCAGAGACTCCTTTTTTTTTTAAATTATAACATCCCCAACCTTGAACTATAAGGCATTCGTCGGCCAGCAGCTCCGGCGTGAACATAATGCTAACGAGCAGTTCAGGGTGGGTCACGAACCTGATCTCCTCTTGGATAGCGCCGTGCCCATATACACTTCCACCCACACATTTGTTGGCGAAATCCACTTGCAACATATTGTTCTGTTTCTCAATGAACCCGTCAGACTTCACAAGACACCTAAAAACACAGCAGCAGACCATACGGTAATGTGCAATTATCACAGGACCGAATTTGTGTTTTTAGCAGGTGGACTTCTAAAAATCAATATTTGTTAGACATTTTTACGTTGACCTTTTGATTTCCCGAGCTCTCTCAAAACATTAAAAGGCCCTTTTCTGCCTGAAAAAAAAATATGCACTGAGGTAATGTGTTGCAAAAATTTTCGTAAAACAGTTTATGAGCACTTTTTGGAAATGTTTGGTCAAGCATTTTGGCGATTTTCTAAAAATTTGGTATTTGTCGGCCAAAAACCCATAAGTGCTGAAGAGGAAACCCTAGGTCTTCATGGAATCTTTTCTGTTTTACGGCCCAGACCTTTCGTTTAAATTGAGAATTGGATCAAACTGCTCTTATCTGATTGGTTGAAATTAAATTAAATACAGTGAAAGAAAATATTGATTTTTTTTTAAAATAGAAGCTCATTTAACAATTCGGTGATTTTTGCCGTATAACAGAAAAGACCCCCTTTTGTGGCAAGGAGGTTGGATTAATGAAAGAGGGGTTTGTTAGCGGGGGGAGGGGTTTGTTAGCGCAAAATCAGCGACCACATTTACCTTGCAAAAAGCTTTTAAAAAAACATAAAAGTTTAAAAATCTTTTTTATTCACTCATATCGTGGTAAGTTTGCGAAAGGTTGAGAATCATCTTTTTGTCTCATTTTCGATGTTTTTTGTTCCCAACTTCTGAGTTTTTTATCCATTCTTGCGTTGCGTTTTTTGTTGGAAACATGGTTTTTGTTTTACCTTGTGAGTTTGGTGTCCATTGTGCTCCATTCAGGAGGTGGTGCCTCCAGACGCCTCCGGTGGAACGAAACCACCTGAGATGAAGTGGCGTCAGTGCTGTCCTGACTAGTCACTCGGTCGAAGTAGTTCAAAAGGCACTTCACTTTCTCAAAGTTAGAATTATATTTACCCGGACGAATTCTGCAAAAAAGGAAAAAACGTGATTTTTTGGCCCGGTTGTTTTCTTTCTACATGCTTCGTTTTTATGTTTGAAAAGCAATTGTCAGAACTTTCGATTTTTGTTATATTGTATAAATGTATATATCAGGGGTGGATTTAGGGGGGACGCATTTCTCCATCTCAGGGATTCGACCCTCTGCCGACCCAAAGGGTCCCCCTTTGGTACTTTTTAAAAAATCGATTTTTGGCCAACCGACCTTGAAAATTTTCTAAAGCCGCTTTTGGCGCCAATATATATATTAATTTTGAAGAGGAGCGCGTGCCAAAAAACGCAAATTTTTTGTGAAAATTTTCCAAAAAGTGCCCAAAAATTTTGCCAAAACAGCGTCTTTTTAGTGCTTTAGGAGAGCTCGGAAAATCATTTTGCTTGATCGGCTCTTTTTACTCCCCCCCCCCCCCCCCCACCTCACACGAGCTTCAATATATTAGTGTAACGAGTGGTTTTACGAGGTTGAGTATGAAGACCAAATATGTTTGTCGTGGCCTTATTAGTCCGTATGTAAATTTTTGTAACAATCGGACAATGTGGTCAACAAATTTGCATGTAAAAACTTGCAGGTGGGGTGGAAAAGGAAAAAGAGCCGCTTGATCTAAAAAAGGTCGTCAAAATTATCGAAATTGTTATAAAAATTTCTATTCATTTTTTGAAAAATAAACTGTTATTTAATATGTCTAATTCACTATGAATTTCGAATGTCTAGGTTCTAGGCTTTCAATCAGATTTTATCATTGCACAACGCAAAAAAATATTAGAAAGTTAAATTTAGAAGCAAAATTTTTTTGTAAGTTCTGAAAACTTGGTCGAAACATTGTGTGCTATTGCACAGCGAGCGCGCATTGTTGTTTTTCTCTTGGATTTGTCAGATTATGTATTTGGGCTGCAATTCTGTAACCATAATTAAAACATTTTCTTTGTAATTTTTCAAAAACCAAATTGATAAATTTTTGGTGACCGAATTTTTTTTGAGTTTTGTTGATTCAAACATCTTCTTTTTGCGTTTCAAAACATTGAGAACATTTTTTGAATTTATTGCGTTGAAATTTTTTTTTATTGTTCAGCTGACTTTGGTTGGTTCTTCACTCGTTCAGTTTTCAGCAGAACTGGAGGTATTGGTTTGATATTTTTGAATATGTTGCGCTGATGTGGGATGAAATGAGTTATTTTGAAAAACTCAAAAAATGGGTTTCATCCAAAACCTTAGTTGTTTCTCTCGAGGATTTGAAAGTTCCCCAGAGTCATTTTTTTCCTACAAGTTTTAGGGCATAGCCGTTTTTGGACCTAGACTTTTCACAACCTGTTGCCTTGATTAAACCCTTGATATCGGATTCGGCTGGGTAAATTGCGAGAAAACTCAAAAAATTCAAAAAAGATGAGAAATCAAATATTTGACTTTTTCGATGGCCACAGTTTTTTTGAAATACTTAAGGCGTAACTGCTTATGCAGGGGAGCTTCATTTAACGTCTTTCATACATAAACCCAAAAATTCAGATTTAGACGGGTAGTCCTCGAGCTAGTGAAAAAACCAAAAATATAGGGCAAAAAATCGAATAAGGGCCAAAAATATAGGGCAAAAAGAAAAAAAAACTAGGCGTTTACAGGGGTGAATTTGACTTTTCGAGCATTCCTAGAGCACTATAAAGATCCAATTTTTGCTTTTAAAAAAAACAATTTGCGCGGCAGTCAATTTTTCAACAAAAAAAGGCCAAAATGCCGTTTTGGGGAGTTTTTGAAAAATTTGATCAGAAAACCGGTTTTGCTTTAACTCTTGCTCCCCTTCAAAATTAGTGTTGGTCGGCTGCAACTGAATGTCATAAAAATAGCTAAAGGAGTAACCTTTGGCTGCTGAGAGGGCGAATCCCTGAGGTTAGGCGGACGCCCCTAAGCGTATATATAGGTATGCAAGCAAAATTAAGAGCGGGCGGTTTTTTCATTGGTACCATTTTCTAGAAACCAAAAAGATAGTTTATGAGAAAAACTTTTATTTTTGAGAATCGCGAAAAAAAATGTACAACGCAAAAAATACAACGAGAATCGCGAAAATTTTTTGTTTTACGTCTCAAAAAAACAAAGTAAACAAAAAACAAATCCCATTTATTTTATAAAACCTGTTTTTATCAAGCAAGAATTTTCTCCTTTTGAATCTTCAAAACTTTTTCTTTTTTTCCAGATTTGTTTGGTTTGCAGATTCTTTTAATAATTGTGTGCTGAATCCGCAACATCTCATTTTTGCTATACCCACCAGCGGATTTATTTGACCCCTGCCGACCCAAAGGGTCCCCCCTTTGTACTATTCTTTTTTGGTCGACGGACCGAAAAATTTTCTAAAGGCGCCTCTGGCTTTTTTATATATTAAGTTTTTAGGGAGAGCGCGCGCCGAAAAAAAACGCAATTTTTTGGTCAACATTTTTATAAAAAGCGCCTAAAAATGCATTTTTGGCCTGTTTTTCTAAAAATTTTCCAGCATCGCAGAAAGTTTATGCGAAATGAGGTCTTTTTAGTGATTTAAAAGATCTCAGAAAACCAATTTTGTCGACCTAAAAAATTTTTAAAAAAATGGAAAAGGTCGACAAATTTTTCAAAATTTTCTGAAAATCCGCCCCCCTCGAGAAAATCCTAGATTCGCCCCTGGCTATGCTTATATTTTATTATTTGTTTGTGGATTCCACAAACTGTTCCGGACTCCGCAATTTTTGTTGCGGATTCTGCAAATTCTATTATTTTTGGAGCAATTTTGAGCGGTACAGTGTGTTGGCTATTATTTTGTGAAATCGAAAACTGCAAAGATAAAAAAAAGTAGTAATATTGCGGATTCCGCGACAAATCTGATTTCGGTCTCTTGCGGAACCCGCTTTTAAATCAAAAAATGCAAAGTTTGTCATCGTAATGTTTTGTTTCATGTAAAAGTTTTGTACATTCTGCTTTAAACATTTTTTTTGAAAGATGAAATCTGTTTCTTAATTAAGAACTTTTCGAGAGACCGTGGTTGCACTTTTCTGGGTTCACAGGACCGTTATTAGTTATTGTTCCGACTTTTGTAACGAAAGTAACGGAATATTTGTGCTCGGGGTGGGTTTTTTTTCTTCATACAAGTTTCGACTTTTTAACTAGCCATTTTTGACGGAATTTTTTTATATCATTCAAAAGGTATTGTCGTCTTGAGCTTAAATTTGAAAAAACATATATCACCGGTGATCAGTTTTTGCAAAGTTATGGGGTTTAAAAATTTTTATTTTGGCCAATTTGGAACAATTAACGCGCGATATATGTTGCGCCATTACTGCGTCAGCGGAGATTTAATCCAAGTTAGAAAATGTTCCAAACTGGTTGAAGGAAGCTTATTTGCCATAATTAGTTAGATACTAGGAACGAAATCTATCACTTTGTACTTTATATGGCGCGTGGAAGGATGATTTTCAAAAAAATCTCAAGTTTTCCTTACGAGGCCAAGCTGTGCACTGGATAGGCGCGCAATTTTTGTCTGTACGTTTCTGGATTCCAGAGACAAGTCTTTAAACATGTTTCAAATTGTAAATGGATTCTACTTACAAAATTTCAAATTTCATCATAGAAATTCCATGTACAAATACCTGCAATTTTGACGGCACATTAATTTTGTTGCGGACTCCGCAACGAGCGAATATAGGTAGTTGCTCCGGATTCCGCAAATGTAAGTAGATTCCGCAAATTTATGCGGATTCCGCTTGCAATTTGGGGATTCCGCGAACAATTTACGGAATCCATTTCTATTTTGCGGATTTCGCTCACAATTTGCGGACTCCACGTAGTTGCGGATTCCACGACAGCTGATGTTTCTGGAACCCACAAACTGTTCCGGAGTCCGCAAACTATTTTTTTTGCGGATTCCACAGATTTTTTTGTGGATTCCGCAAAGTTGCCTGTTTTTGGAGCAATTTTGAGCAATACAAGGTTTTAGCTACTGTCCTCGGAATCCAAAACAGCAAAGAAGATCAAAGAACAATAGCAACGTTGCGAATTCCGCAATATTTCTGTTTTTGACCTGTTGCAAAATCCTTTTACTATTCACAAAATACACAGTTTGGCCTCGTAATGTTGATTTTTTTTTCTTTTTTTTATTACATTCAATTTTTTCATGTTATTACTGCTCCATAGACCTTAAAGGGCAGTCGGAACATTCAGAGCTTAGCTTCGCCCTGATACGATCAGTTTTGTTCGTGTTTAAATCCAATTTATTCAGAGGGAAATGAAATTTTGCTGAAGATAAACTAACTCTGAATAGAAAAGATGAAACATGTGCTGATGTTTATTCAACTTTGCTGACTTGTCCTGTTTTGGGAATGTATTGAAGAACTGGTTGGCAAGTAGACATGCTATCTGTCGCTTCGACATCGTCATCGACATGTTCGAGTTCTGTATGCCACAATTGGGTATCAATTACACTTAGGACTCTGTTTCAAAATTGAGTGTTTTTGTAACTTTACACTGGTTGTACTCTAGAGTAAAAACGAAATTGTATAACTTTAAATAGCAATGGAATATCTTTAAACAATTGACCTCTGTGAAATCCTCTTTGATTCGCAAAAACCAGAATTCTTCTATGATTTTAAATGCGACCTTCAGTTGATGGATGTTAAAACTATAGGAGCCATTATAGCACTGTCTATAATTGATAAAGTGGCAAAGAGACAGCACATGATTGCACAGTTACCTTGAGGATAAATCGTCGTAAGAAGAAACGATATGAACTAATTTAAAAGATTTCTACCTTGTCTTGCGAGAGAAGGCGGTAGGGAAGGCGTAAAGAAAGAAGGGTGAGAAATGAAAGGGAAGGAAGAGGACGAACTTGACATTGACTTCAATGTGATCTTAAAAATTTGAACTTGAGATTGACTTCAACGTGATCTTAAATGATCATTGATGGTTTGCCAAAATTGCTAGTGTAAATGATGCCGGTTGGAGCCATGGCATTGGCTGGGTTATCAATTGAGGCAACTCCAGCGCCAATTGCTGCAGTTTAGGCAGAATCACAGACATGAATTTGTTGCTGACTTGTGGCTGGAGGTATTTAGTGAAGAAGTATTTTATATACTTTCCCATCATGTTCAAGAATCCTGGCGAGTATACCTCTATAGCTGTTATGACGTCATCGATTGTCATCATCGGCTGAGACAACTGCGCCTGAAAACTTTTGATAGTCATCATCGGTATGTTCATTAACAACAATCAAAATCCGATTTGGAAAATGTGCTGCTTTTTTGAACTGTCCTTGTTCCCTTCTATGGTTAAAGTCGTATACATTCAAAAGTAGAACTTCACAGGATAGAAGAAAAAGGAAAATGAAAACTGCCAATTCATTTGAATTGATGAAGCTTTCAAACGAAATTTTTAGACCAAATGTTCAAACTATAATGCTTTTGCTGTGTTATTAGATTTTTTTCGAACTAACAGCAACCCTTTGGCGTCAATTAATTAAATGACCAAAGGAGCCATAAAATCAAATTCATTCGGCTTTTTCTCAGGCTATTTTCAAGATCAAATTTTTTACCGTGAATTTCTTTTAGTTGTAGATAAAACTGGAACAAAGTTTTAAAATTTTTTAAATTTTATCATTTGAAGTTTAAATTATACAAGTTTTATTTCCCATCACTGTATCGTCGAAGTTCCGTCTCTCTGTCGGGTTGATACTAAACTGGGTTTCAAAAGTATATATGAGAATCAATATATATCGGGTATTTTCTGTCTCTGAATTAACAGACAATTAACACACTTTTCGCATTTTTCGGTATAAATTTCAATCTATAATTTCGATAATCCAACATCGTTCTTACAGCACCGTTATTCAAAAGCGCTTTTATTTTCTGTTAATTCCGAGACAAAAATTACCCGATATTTTGTTTGTCAAATATACTTTTGAAGCCCAGTTTTAAATCAACCCGATACAGCGTGAGGCAGCACAGCGTAAGACAGCACATTTTTTTGGTGCCGCGACCCGAAATCGAACCGAGGACCTTTAGATCTTCATCCTAACGCTCTTTCAACTGAGCTATCGCGGTTCTTTGCCACTGCAACATAACCCCCGCAGTTTGCTGCGATTGCGTAAGCTTGTGCTCGGTCATAGTGCTTTCGGTGGTCGAAACGTTCATCAAGTGTTAGCAACAAAAAACTAACAGACTGCTCATCCAAGATAGAAGGGTTAGGCGTTAAGGCTTCCAATTTAGTTGAATCAGGACCAACAGGCGTTACTGAACAGGCATTTGGCGATTGCTCCACTAAACAAAACGTGGTCGAGAATATCTGTTAACTTGCGGGTTCCGATGGTTGCGTAGAAAACGCCGTTGCAACTGCGCACAACGTTTCTCGAGAGCCATGCGGCGGGCGGCGCGCCAGGAGAATTGTATTCTCAATTAATCCCTATATGATCTAACAATGTGGGAGTCTGTCTGCTCCAACTTTGTACGCTAAGTAGAAGTTCCTTCTCAGCTCCAACGAAATTGGTACCATTTTCTGACTACACATCCGAAAGTAGCACTTTATCTTTCGCAATTGAAAGTTCGGCTGGACCGGTTTTTTAAGCGGTAGGCCCGTGGAAGTGCTTGTTTTTTGACAAAAACGTCAACATAAAGCAAACATATCGTTGCAATTTCGTTCAACTACTATACTTCTCCCAAACAAATACGGGCTCTGACTGCTTCGAATCACTCGTGAGAGCATGTGTCGAAATTTCTATGGTGTCGTCCACAGATTTTTCTGAGAGAAATTTATTAACAACATCCATGTTTGGTTTGAAAGGCCACTCATTGCCTAAGAGGAAGCTTGGACCCTGACCCAACTGCTTTCTTTAAGGCATTCCGCCGACATTCCGCTTGTCCCCGTGTCTGCGGGGTTTTCTCCATTATTCACTTGGAATCATTGATCCTCAGTGGTGCGTTCTTTTGTTTCACAGCACGGTTTGCGGCGGTAATTTATCGAAGGAGTGAAGCCTTTGTAGCCTCGTGGTGCTATCGGTCCACAAAAAAGCGCGGGTTAATTCGATTGAAATCGCCCAGAATATATCTTCCTTCAACCTAGATGCCAGCAAGGCTGCCTGCAATTCCAGCCTCGAAATGGACAAAACCTTCATTGGTTCTACCATTGCTTTACCGAAAACGAATGCAGTTTCAGTTTTTTGAGTCTCAGTAATCCGGGCGCGAAGAATTACATCGATCAAACGGATTACTGAAGTAGCATCGGGGAATGACTGTTTCTCCTAAGATAAACAGGTTTGAATGCGAATCAATGAACTGCTTCCGGAGCTCATCTCATTGTTGCCCAGTTACGCGCCAAATGTCTCTAAGAAGCAGGCGTGTCCTTTCCAGGTAGGGCGACAACAAACCAATAGGGTCGAAGACCGATGAAACAAAACTGAGAGCAATTTTTGCGCTCGGTTAACTCCAGCAAGAGGGACACTTCATTACAACGACTATCAACTAAAGGGTCACTTCCACTGTTCCCCTTTATCCCTAATACATGAGAATTCAAATAGTCATTACCACTCGCAATTTCCTTTTACTTTCGGATTGAAGGGTTCAAATTATCCCCATTTGCAGGAACATTACTAACAAACTTGGTGAGACAGAATCGTCCCACTATAAGACGATTCACCAGATCCTTGCTTACTCTCATTGCATCATTGTGATTTTCGAATGATTTCAAGTAGTCTTCCATGTAGAACCTAGTAATTACTGCTCTAAATGCTTCAGGAAAAGTTTCAACGTTGTCCCTGGCGGTTTGCTCAAGTAAGAAGTTCGCACACTTCGGGGAGTCCTGAGCGCCAAATTTATCTCGGGTATACTGGAGAACTTTCACATCCGATGTGTTATCCTCGCGCCAGAAAAAACGCAAAGAAGGTTGATCACAAGGCGGTATCCCAACCTGGAAGATCAGATACCATCTCCGCGGAGACGGCAAGCTGATGTTCGCGGAAGCGCATTAACACATGAAACAAACTTTGTAATAAATCAGGTCCAACCAGCAAAGATTTGCTTAAAGATTGGGCATGAAATTTTGACGTGCCAATTAAATGCCGGCGACATTTGCCTGGCTTGTTTGGGCTGAGGACAAGAATATGGGTAATACCATTAACGCGCGGAGCGGAACTGCAAATCATGCGCTTCAACAGGAGTTACATAACCTTTATCGAGGTCCTCTTTGATTCTCTCAGTGTATTTATTTTTTAAACCACTATCTTTGTCGAGCGGTTTTTCAAGCATCTTGAACTATGCCAGAGGTGAGTAGTAATTTTTTTGTAAAGAACTGGTCTCATCGGCCCATAACATTCCTAATCAATCCAGTTTACCATCATAATTTGTTGTTAATTCAAGAAAATTATGCGCTCGCTGATCGGCTGTAGAACGAGCATCAGCTTGCTTGTATATACCATAGGTTTCTAACTGACTATTAAGTTTCACGTCTTTGGCATTGAACTTGAAACAGTTTGACAATAACCCAGACGATGAAGGGAGTAGGCCACTCTTACCCATCCTACCGGGAAACAAACAGCCATTGGAGTTTTCCTATCTGCATCATGAATTTAACCGAGCGGGCGTATGTGGCGATAAAAGTCCTTACCAATTAGCATTTCAATGTCCTATTAACTATACCGAAGTGGCTTTCCAGGTATGGATACTTTTCTTGAAGGGCCGGAATATCACCCTTTTTAGACCCAACATTAAATTCATTCTTTACGTAAGCGGATTCATTGAAGGTATAATCGGTGTTTTTATTTCAGCGCATAGTGTGAACTCGACTGACTCATTCAAAATAATATCCGTTGAATTGAAACTATTTAGGGTGATATCATTCTTTATACCTGACAAGTTCAGACGGCGGGCCAAGCTTGCGGAAAACTTGGAGTGGTTGCTCGGAGTCACACAAAATGAGGGCGTTATCGGTTTTTGACTTGGATAAAACACTGAGCTGATTAACCTGGAGAAAACCTTTAGCGCCCTGCACGGTTGCAGAACAAGACGACGTTGGTTTATCCACCGGAGCTTTTGCAGTAAAAGACTTGTTTTCTTCCTTTCGAGGAGGATGAATGCGGTCTGCACCAGGCAAGAGAAAATTGTGTGTGCATTTGCACTCAGGTTCAGAGCATTTCCAAGCCTTCGGACAATTACGGAACATGTGGTATGCTTGGAGACAGGAAAAACAGAGTTTTATCCGCGGAAAAAGTGGCACTTTGAGTAGGGTTTTTTTCCTTGGAAACCTTGCGTCCCCATAACGGATATTGCCAGCGCACTGCGGGAAGCAAATATATTCAACCTTGTTCGGCTTAGCACTGCATATTAAATTTCGGGTGCTAGTTTTTGTCTTGAAGCGTTCCTCGGTTTTTGATTTACCAGAAAAGTTTTCATATGCATATGCGTTTCGGCCTTTTCTTTCAAACACTCGTTGAAGTCAAAAAGATTAGGTAAATACTAATTGCGCTTGACCGTGTAGGACGACCAAGACTCCTTCACGTTCGGAGGCAAATTACATATAACTTCGTTCAAGATGGCGGTTCCTTTCATATCTTCCTCATGTGCCAACCATCGAAACACACCAACGAGACTTGAAATAACACAAGCAAAATTAATAATGCTTTCCGAATTGTGCATTTTCATTGGTCGAACGCTGTTAAGATTTCCGAGGTGGGCTCTCCTGACGCTTTGAGGTTGCCCAAACTTTTGTTCAAGGAGTGCCTAGTGCATACCTGTAAATTCGACCTGAATACTCGAAGTCCTCTATGGCCAATTTACTTTTCCTAGTTAGCAATGTTTTAGGGTACGTCCGTTTGACGTCATCCAAAAAAATTGATTGTTGACAAACGGCACTCCAAAACTTACCCATCAATTCATGCCATTCCAATGGATTACCATCATACTTGGACAGTTTCCATTCCGGTAGTGGATCCTTTCTGTTTTATGTCAACGAAAAGCAACAGCTAAGTCTCGAAAGGATTTCGATTGCGATGGCGGGTTGAAATAATTTGAGACAGGATGCTATACGCACGATGCGGCCGGATTCGAAAAGTGCGGCTGATGAACGGATGAGCAAGGAATGTCCGACGCAATTGGTGACTGCAAGGGTACTTGCTCGTGTGGTAGAGTGGAACAGTAAATTACTCCAGCGCTATTGTTGGGGAACGTTACCAGTTTTGCAGAGGCCACAGGTGTTACTAACTCAATTACGTGCGATAGCTCATTCAAAGCCAAAGGGATGCAAACTGCGGGGGGTTGGTGTTGCTGCTGCAGGGAACTACGATGCGAGGTTCGAACAGTAAATTACTCCAACGCTATTGTTGGGGAACGTTACCATTTTTGCGGAGGCCACAGGTGTTACTACCTCAATTACGCGCGATGACTCATTCAAAGCCAAAGGGATGCAAACTGCGGGGGGTTGGTGTTGCCGCTGCAGGGAACTACGATGCGAGGTTCGGGGTTCAGAACTGACTGAATTAGGCGGGATTACCTACAAGCGGTACTGCCGAAATAAGTGCAATATCAGGAGGTAAATTTCTTAGGAAGGTGATGGAAGATTTTCAAAATTAGCAGATGTGGCAGGCTCAGCACTAACCGAACGATTTGCATCTGAAAACCGCTGTGGTTGTGTTACATACTAAGTTTTAAGTTTGACTAATATTCGTCGATATTTTGCCGAGTATTAGTGCCGGCAGCAATATGCGTAAGAGATTTAAGAATCAAGGGAGTTACTTCATCGTAGAAGAGAAGCCACCTAATTGGTCGTTACACACTGCAATTTCGGCACATTTTGCACGCAAGTTTCTGTGCGCTTGTCTGCTGTTTCCCTATGAGAGCTTACCGAGCTAGAAAACAAATCAACAACGTCGGAGTCTTCCTCCAATTCATTTTCACCGATTTTAGCTTCAACATTTTTCCAAACTCCTCGCTGATTTGTACTTCTTTCAACCTTTGCCTGATTTATAGTAAGTGTATTGATCCTTAATTTTGTCTCTCGTTCTTTTCTTTTCTTAATTTAGCTCTCAACGACTCTTTTTGTCGTTGACTGGAAGTCATTGAGACTGTTTTAGTCTGACCTGAAACCCTAAACCGCTGTGAATTTTGAGATTTTTCGGAACCTTTCGAGGAAGTCACCTCCCCCAAAGGCATTGAAATGGACCTCATTTATTCCGCAGACCCTTCATAGTTCCTAGCTTTCTGAATTAACTTCTCTGTCTTTTTCTCACCAGGTCAAGGCACTGTTCCAATTCCTTGCCAATCATATCTCTATTAGTAGTTTTCTCTTTTGACTTATGTCATCATTTTTCAAAAAAGTCTTTTCCAGAAAAACATTTGCGTTTCTGATGTGGTTCCCTGCACTCATTTCTCAATTTTGTTCTCTATGGCTTCTTGAATGTCTTCATGAACATTGAGGAACTCAAATACCAAACTGCACGGAGGCTCAAGATTCTTTTGGACTTTCCGGCTTAAGTCTTGATCAATTTTGACAAATTGTAACGATGTGCTTTTATAATTAAAGAGAGGGACGTATCAAACCTGAATTCAAAACAAAAACAAACGAAACGACATTGAGGCACTGTAAGATGAGTGCAACAATTTATACGACCGCTTCAAGACCAAGCTTTTGAGCTAAAGACTAATATACATCGGCTAGTTGCTCTTGAGATGTCACTCAGATGAAAGTGCGTTGCTTAAAGAGCGCCTGTTGCTTCTTCTTCAATTTCTTTTTCCTTTTAGTCTTAGCAACAAATGTTTTGAGGTTTTTGCCGTATCTGCGAATGACCAGGAAAATTTTGATCTCTAATTTATTGGACTGATGTAATGCCAACTACTGTTTGCGCAAACAGTAATTCTTAACTTTACGTTTCGATATCATCTGATCGACTCTACTGATGGTTAGAATAGCTGATTTCTCTAATTTCTGAAACATTCTCTTAGTTCTTTTGCGTTGACAATAGACGAGGACACTAATTTTTGTGTCATACGGTTTTAGGACTGCTACAAATTTATCGTTGGGCAAAGGGCTGAAGTTATTGCTGCGATGCCTACTAACTGAGTTATTTATGATATCGTGCCAAATCTCGATGCTCTAGTAAAGTCATAAAAATGATTCAAAGTGGTGTTGCATAGTTTTACAGGGTTAACAGCGTTCGGGTAAAAACATAGACCGGGCTAGGCTTTCTAGAGCGTGATTCAAAGAGCTTGCAACGATAAAAAACATTAAAGGTTTTACATAAAAAAAACACAAACGCGGCTGGTAAACTAACTCCACAAAAGCTTTTGGGTAGATTGGGGGCGCCGTATACACTGGGTCAAAGTTTCATTAACCATTCGGAGTAAACCTGAGGTCGCCGGAGCTATAGCCAAGTAATACGACTGGTTTTTTTTGTTTTAATTGAAATAGATTTGACTGAAATTTTCAAGCATTCTGGTCGAGGGCGTAAGGTTTTGTTACAAAGTCTGTTTTTCACTTTATTGTCCTTTTTTGCAATTTTTTGATGACAGGACGTTTACCAGGTTCAAACAATCTGGGTCCAAAGTTTCATATAAGACTATAACACTCGTTTTATACTAGGGTCCAACTTTTTGGTGAAAAGTTTTGCGAAAAAATTTATAAAATCATAAATTAGCACATGGAAAAATGATAGATAGTTCAAAGTTTTGCGACGTTGTGGCTTAGTTTGTCTTACAGTTTTCTGTAGTTTTTTTCTAACGACCGCAGATGGCTGGCCTCTTTGTCAGGAGTCTGTCTGTCAACATTTTCTGTAATTCACACAGTTGCCTTCTGGTGTGGCTTGCAACGGTCAAACTCGACAACTTCACCCGCTCTCGAGACCCTTCAGAAAGGCCTCCGTTCCAGGGGGAATTGCAGACTTCTATTGACCTTTGTCACGCCCTACTTCTCCCGATTGCTAAGGGTGATTGGTTGTTAAATATTTGTCTCAGATGGCTCAAAATGATTACGGACGCGGAGAAAGCGTGGAGGAATGAATTGCTGTTGTGCAGGTACAATATAACTGTTAACTGTCGCGTACAGAAGTTTTCAAACTTCTCCTCTCAGACTATTTGTTCTTAGTTGTATTTGTGTTTTCCACAGTCCCACTATACTACTTCCTCCTTGAATCAGAGGGCGATTTCCTTAGCTGCCTTGTCTGCGGAGTTACTACCGTGAATGATGTTGTGCTGTTTAGTTGAACTCAATTCGTTGATTTGAATTATCTGATCGAATTCTTTTCCGGGTCGCGGCACCAAAATATGCTGCCTCACGCTGTGTCGGATTTATATAAAATTGGTCTTCAAAAATGTATTCAACAATCAATACATCAGGTAATTTCCGTCTCTGAGTTAACAGAAAATAACCACACTTTCCTTTTTTTGGTATAACTACAACCTATAGTTTGGATAATCCAACAGCGTTTTTACAGCATTGATATTCGAAAGTGTGTGTGTTCGCTCCAATTTGGCAAAACACGGTTAACAGACAAAAACGTGTCAACCAAGGTCTGCCATGGCCGTTTTATGAACTAGTTAATTAGCTAAATATAACAGAAATGGTTTTCCGGGAGTTCGAAGTCGGTTACTGAGCGTAGATTTATGAGCATGTTCGGCGCAGAGTTTCGAAAGGAAATGTCTGAGGCGAGATTTGAACCTGCTCCGAGCCCGCCGGGAGGCACTGTGTTTACGCTCGGTTTCTGTGCTTGTATGCAACTATCGTTCAAACTGGTTTATACGCAACAATACTTCAAATTTTTTTATGCATTTGTTCTTATTTAATTATTTGCTCAGCAACATTCTAGTTGAAGATAAAACTGAAAAAAAGTTTGAAAATCTTGTTAACTTTATCACTTGAAATTTAAAATATGCATTTTTCATGTCCCAGCCCTGCATAAATCAAATATACATCACATAATGTTTTTTCTGCGTTATAACGTGCGTAATCAATGATGATTTTTGGCAAACTTTTTAGTTACTAATGCGTTTAGTGTCGTATGATATCAGTCACATGACCTTTTTATAAGGTGAGTTCATCAAAAAGAAAGATAATTCACAGGATCTCAAGTGATGTTATATATAAGACTAGTTGTCAGCCTTGACTCGGTCTTCAGATAAGACTTCAAAACGAAATTTTTCTGTCCTGATAAAATCTGGCATGAGTACAATTGTACAATAATCTTGATATTTTGCGCAAACATACAACAAAATAAATATACAGAGTTATTTTGTCCTCAACTTCTAGCCTTTAATTTTTTGGCTCTTTTTCCTCCCCCCCCCCCCCCAAACATTAATTTTTTGGTCTAACGAGTAGTTTTACAAGATTAATTATGAAGACCAAATATGTTTGTCATGGCCTAATTAATGTTTTCATGACAATCGGACAATGTGAAAACAATAACTTCAAATATAAATATTTGCAGGTGGGGGGGGGGGGGGGGGGAAAGGAAAAAGAGCCTATTTTTTTAGAGGTTCAACATTCAACACTCGGAAGTTTCTTTTTAAATAATTTTTTGAAATGAACTTGCCAGCGCTAAGTTAGTTTATATATGTGAAGGGAATTATGATTTAATTTTTGAGCACTTTCAAAAATGACCCGTAGAGAAGAAAGCTCATTTTGTTTGCAAATGTTTCAACTCTTTTTTGCAACTTATAGGTTGCATAAAGAAGAATTGGTTTTTTTGGTGAGCAAAAAAAAACTATTTTGAGCAAAGGTGGACCTACTTTGACAACATCCCAATGCCTGTAATTCTGAAAGGTCACAGATGACAGACACGGCAATTTGACATGACCTGGGAACCACTGGTCTATAAACTGTTCAGGAGAAGCTACTGCTATTCCTTGTTCTAATGCATTCACATCTATCAATGTCGTATGCAGTGGTGCATTCCAGAAGTCTTTCGGTGTCTCTTCTGGGCAAACGTAGAGATACCCGGAAGAAGATGAAGAAGAAGATACACTGGTGTAAATAAAAAATGGAGTTGAGCTCTTTATCCTCTCTCGCTGCACCTTCCAATTACAGTTCTTTCCGATAAAAGTTGGTTTTTTTTATGCTTGTAATGGGACCATATTGGGAAATGGAAAATAAGATTTCACTTCGAGACCCGGAATGTGTTCAATGCTTAAAAAATCAACCAATCTTCGGATCAATTTTGCTTAAATTTGCAATATTACAAATTTTGAACCCAAAATTACACTTCAAACCAAATAAAAGAATAGAAAGAGAGATGAAGGAAAAGGAGCCTTGAGCTGTTGCCAGAAACCCGAGATCCATTGGCCGCGTGAGAGCTCGTTGGCGGCGGAACTGCTGCTGCCACTGCCCCTGCTCCTGACCCAACTTCGAAATCATATGAAACCCACTCCTGGGGTTCAGATCCGCCTGTGTACTCGCTCGTAGTTAAATAGGGGTCGTCTAAGGCTTGGGAGACGCTAAAAAAGTCTTTTGTGTAGTGACACTTGATAGTCATCCGTATCGGCTGGCCGTTTGTCGGATCTCGGATACAACTAATCCCATTTCCATATTTGGCTGTCACGAAAGCACCCAATGCAGGTCGCTCTTGGAAGCTTTCAATCTGGGTAGCTCTTTCCCGTTAGAGCTTTCAAAAACTATTTAAAAAACATTTTCAACTTTTCTAAACTGTTGGCCAAACGGATGTTTCGAGCAGTTCTTTTACTCCCCCCCCCCCCCACTTGCAAATCTTCATATATCATATTTCTTGAATCTTTTCTATACCCCTCCCCCAGGGTTTAATTTCATTTTTGAAAAAGTTCTTTAACGTTGCCATTAAGCAATAAAACTGGTTTAATTTCATTTTTGAAAAAGTTCTTTAACGTTGCCATTAAGCAATAAAACTTCGTATGTTGAGCAAACTGACAACTGTGAACAGAATCGTTCTTCACACTTCACATCGTAGCATCCAGCATTTAGCCGTGATAATAAAACATATCATAACTATAAATATCGATATTTCGAAAAATCAAAGATGGGGTTGGGGTGCAAAAGTTTTTTTTCTGTTCACATCGTTCGATTGGGCTCTTTTCCGCCCTCCTCCCCCCTTTCAAATTTTCTATTTTCGTAGTTGTCTTACGTGTTTTTACGGCTAAACGCGTGATGTTAAGGAGTCAGCGTGAACATGAGAACAAATTTTTTCAATACTTTCTTCATCCAAATTGCCGCGTGAACAAAGTTTGAACAGCTTTGTTTTTTAATTTTACAAAGGTGGTAAGGAGAGAGGAGAGAGGAGCCGACAAACATATTTAGTCTCCATACATAACCTTGTAAAATCCCTCCATACACCGAGAAAGAGTCTCCTGAACTCCCTTGGAATACTTAACACCCTAATGAGCCAAAACTGCGGCTCTTTTTCCTCCTCCCCCCCTCCCCCACCTCCCACGACCATCAATTTTATGGTGTAACGAGTGGTTTCAAAAGGTTAAATATGAAGACCAAATGTGTTTGGCACATCCTAATTAGTCCGCATGTCAATTTTCATAATGATCGGACAATGTGAACAGTAACTTTACTAGTAAAAAATTGCAGGTGGGGGGAGGGGAAGGAAAAAGAGCCAAAACTGCTAGCAATGCAGGCAATTTTTGGACAAAGAGGAGGCCAAAAATAAATGCTTCCACCACTTTTTCCTTCTCTCCTTACCTCGCATGGGCATCAATTTTATTGTGTAACAAGGAATTTTAAAAGGTTGAGCATGAAAACTTACTTTAGTTTTCGGCTCTTTTCCACTCCCCCCACATTTCGAAAATTCTTTTTTTTTAAGTTGTCTTACGTGTTATTATGGCTGAATGGGTGATGTTAGAATGTAAAGTATGAAGATCAAATGTCTTTGCAATAGTTATTTTGTTCTATATGCAAAATTTCTTTTCAAAATCAGTGTTTTAAATCTGAAAATCAAATTTGTGAGGGTGGGTTGAGACACCGCCTATTTTTTGTGACGTGAATAAACTGCATGTCAATTTTTATTTTTGACGTTAATCAGGCAATGTGAACAACCATTTTAGTTGTAAAAATGAGCAGATAGGGTTAAAAGAAGAAAAAAAAGATACTCCAACTCGTCTCCTGTTTTTGTTAAGACTATTCTTACTTTTTCTCTCACCTCGCATAATCATAAATTGTCTATGCCTTTTTTTCCTTCACTTTCGAATTTGTTTAAAGTTTTTTTTCGCGTTTTCTGAACTTTATAAAACTAGCATGACGAACACTTTTGTTGTGCATTGAAAACTTTTTAGCAAACTCAATACGCCGTAAATTCGATTGTTCAGGTCATGTTGTGGGTCTTTCTCACTATCTGAATCTGCCTTGCTACAAAAAAGATATCTTTTCCATTTCCCCCCACATTCGAGTTTTAATTTTGACAAAAGATTTCGAAAAATTCAGCAATTTCGACTTTAAATTACAATCTTATTTCACTCACAGGATATGAAGAGCTGGTTGTTCCAAAAGGGTCGATCCACCTCCGACTGATATGAAATGTATCTTAACTGCATAAAAACAATTGTAATATTGATGATGAGGTATTAGCTCTGTTTGTAGGAGTGACCTCATGGTCTGCGGATATTGAGACACTTTTTGAGTTCACTTAATTATCATGCAAAGAATTATTTATATCATTACCCGCACTGACAAAAAAGGATTAGGATCGATTTTAGTATGAAAAAATTACGTTGATTAAATTTAGATCGATTTTAGTATTAAAAAAGTACGAAGATTAAATAAAAAAGATGAAGATTGATCTGGATTGATTTAAAGTCGATTTAAATTGTTCTTAAATCCCAGCTAAAAAAATTGATCGAAATTGATTTTAAATCAACTTAAATGCATTTTTTTCAGTCTGAATGTGTTTTTAATTTAAGGGGATTAAAACGGATTAAAATCGATTTAAATCGATTTTTTTCATTCGAGATTTATCAGTTTCGATTTTTTTTGCATTTAATACTACCTATCAATTTTCATTTTACATCCATAGCGTATTGTAGCATAAAAAAGACCAAACGAAAAGACCAAAATATCGATAAAATTCTATATTTTTTTTGCATATTTGAGTTCAAAAACTGATCTACAATAATCTTTTTCTTGATTCGTTTCATCCGAAATTTTAACCGAATTATGATTTATCTTCAAAATTTTCTATGATTTAATTGCATATTAATGAGATCAAATTTAATTTTTTTTTGACCCTTTTCTCGTATGTTACATAGGATTTAAAATAATTTTCTATAACTACATTGCCTATTTTCGAGCTTAAAATCTGATTTATGTGGATAATTTTATTGAACTTTATAACATATGGCACGAGTTTTTATATTTAAAAAATCGAGAATAAAAAAATCCAACAATTTCTTAAAGGGTGTTTTGTTCGCCTTGTTAGCAAAAAAAAATGATTTTAGTGGGTCTGAAAACCCATCCAAATCGATTTAAATCGATTTTTTAGACACTTCAATTGATTTAAAATTTTCAAAAAGATCGATTTAAATCGGTTTAAAACGGATTTAAATGAGTTTCGGATGGATTTTATTGAGTCGGAAAATCCATCCAAATCGATTTAAATTGATTTTTTAGACACTTAAATCGATTTAAAATTTCCAAAAAAATCGATTTAAATCGATTTTAAATCCATTTAAGTTCGTAAAATGTACATTGTAATTCGATTTGGATCAATTTAAAATCGATTTAAAGTCAATTTAAATTGATCCGAAACCATTTTTGTCAGTGCTGGTAGGTTTGCCCTAACACGTTCAATGACCCAAAACACCAAGGTTTGCATGGATTTGGTTTTGATCGGAACGGTAAAAATCACGTAGAGTTTATTCTTCGAAGCTAGCGAATCCTGATAGGGCTATGTTTTATTTTTCATTGTAATGTACATTACGGGCGAATATTAAAACGGACAAATAATCCATTCTGAGCAGAATTTTTTCAGTTTCTTACATGATATTATCACGTTTTTTTTTTTTCATTTAACATATAAGTTGAAGAAAAAAATTGGAAGTTTGAAAAGTTGCTAGAGAAGAAATTTGAAAGCTTGAAAAGTTGGGGAAAAAACAAGGATAACAAGAAAACTACGGCCCCCAGACTATGATTTACTTTTAAAAGTAATCGGTATCTATGATTCGCTGGGGGTAGAGGGCAATGGGAAAGACCCACAAAGATATTTTCAATACCCTTATAAGCCATCATAGCAAATTTTTTTTTAATAATTGGATAGCGTGAACATAAGATTACAAGTAAAGTTTTGTGTGAGGTCAAGGGAAGGTTATTTTTGTCAATTTTCCCCAATTTTTCAAGTTTTTTTCAAATGATTTTTGGTGTTATAGATGATAAAAGTTGAATTCGCAATGTTATAACGCAAAGCATCAAAAATGACTTATTCGTTCGGGTTAATTTGTTTTCTTTGTTACAGTTTTTAAAAATGAATTTCATAGGTTGATGCTAGAAAAGTGCCTTTGATTTTTAAAATTTTTTTCTTGCAGACTAATAAAGCTATGGCGAACATATTTAATAACCATATTTTGGCTCGAGAAATCGCTCGTTACATCAAAAAAGAGCCTTTTGCACTATCTGGAATTAAATAAGCAACTAATATGTCAGCATAACACGAACATGACACGTTTGAGCTAAAAATTTAGTCAGAAGCAAATTGATTTGCAATTGAGTTTCTCATTATTTAAAAGTGTGAAACATAATTGATTTATCGGTTTTTATTCTTGACAATTTCGGGTTTAGACCGTTAAATTTACTCGTTTTTCTGACCCACACATTTGGTTGTTTATGAAAACCCAAGTTTATCGGTTCTTTTTGTAGTCTTTTTTTTTACAAAAGAACGGTTGTCGCCGCTAATTATGGGAACCCAACCAAGGAACCGTTCTTTGTTTTGAGCGATCTCAAAATGAAAGAACTGAAATCGAACGGTTGCTTACTAAAGAGAAAGCTCTTGAGACAAATAAACAACTTATCCACCGAAGCTGATATTTAGCCTGTCTCGGATGAATTTAACAAACTTGACGAATATTTCGGAGAGCCAAAAACGGTTTCAAGCAATCAAAAGCTACCATCCGTTTGTTTGAAAAAACAGGAGATTCAAATTCAAATGATGAAAAATCAGCTTCAGCTCGAAGTTATGGTCAAAGAAAACCGCCAAAAACATGCCGAAGTAGGCAATGAAGAATCTGAATACCTGAACACCCACGAAAACTTTTTAGTTGGGAAAAAAATCATTGGCTTTGTTGCTTTGTTTCAGGTAAATCCAGTCTTCTCGCCTTTTTATGGTTGCTGGGCTTCGAAAACAACATGAGGACAACTTGAGACTTGAATCAACTTAATGTAAATTAGCGCCCAAGGCTCTTTTTCCTTCCCCCCCCCCCACCTCACTCAAACATGAATTTTATGGTCTAACGAGCAGTCTTACAAGGTTAATTATGGAGATCAAATATGTTTGTCATGGCTGAATTAGTCTACATGCCAATTTGCATGACAATTGGACAAAGTGAAAGGTAACTTTAAATATAAAAATTTGCAGGTGGGGGGAAAAGAAAAGAGCCGCGCCCAATTATGAAAGAGTCCTTATCTTAAATCATAAAACGGACTTCAATGACAGACTCCGCAACAAAGCTGGGCTATTTTTCCTTTCCCCCCCCCCACCTCACTCAAACATGAAATTTATGGTCTAACGAGTGGTTTTACAAGGTTAATTATGATGACCAAATATGTTTCTCATAATCTAGTTAGTCTGCGTGACAAATTTCATGACAATCGGATTAAGTGAACGGTAACTTCAAATATAAAAATTTGCAGGTGGGGGGAAAAGGAAGAAGAGCCCAAAGCTGTTTGTCATGATCTATGCGTGTCCTATGATGCTCATAAAGTCTACAAAAACGCCAAAAAGTGGTTTCAAGAACCCACCAACGATATTTCTTTTGCTGCCTTGAAATTTGATATGTCAACATATGCTTTGAGCAATCACCGCAAAAAAAACATTAATTGTGGAGTTTTCCTGTGTTTAATAAAAGACCACAAGTCAAGGAGTTCAATATGCTGCTCAAATTAAAATGTTATTTTTTAGCTTGCAACTGAATTACATGTTTCGGAAACGCCTTCAAAGCTGCAAATGCGATAAATTCGTCACGGAAAAAGAAGTTTAGTAATTTTTGTATTTGGTGTTATTTTCAGCGGAATCCGAGTGTTTTTTTTTGCTGGCAAATATAACAAAAAGCCGGGTGTTAGATGGCCATTTTCTCCATTTCTTTGTTCGAACAGTATGGTCAGATTTTTTGGCCGCAATCAACGTCTCTCTACAACCGCTTCCGATACTCGACATGCAAAAATTTTGGATAGCCGTCTCCAATTAGTCCAAATTTTTCACCATTTTTAAGGCAGAAGCTCCCTCGTCGCTCATTCAAGAAAGTATTAAGTGGTAGTAACAAACATCTAGTGCCCCCTTCAAAGTGGAGCATGGAAGTGATTGGCAGTTCAAAGCGCGTGTTTTACGCAATCATAGGGCAAAAAGCGTCTGAAACGATTTTGAACACTACCATGGGCTTAGTTGAAATTTCACCTAATGCCCACGTCCTTCCGTTTCCGAGGATCCCTAAATTTTTGAGGCTTTGACGCCCAATCGTAACGACCCTAACTTTGAATGATTTTTTTTCATTCTTATTGCTATGTCCGTGCGCAGTCTTACGCAAACACAATTTTTCAGTAGTGGTTAATTAATTGTCCCGATATCCGTAATAGAGTTAAATGTCATGATACCGCAGAGTTTCCTTGAAAATATGAAATCTAATGCGGATATTTGAGGTGTGAAATCTAAGGGACTGTTGTATAGAGTTATTTAGTTCACTTTGCAAGCTGTCAATCAACCGTCCACTCTTGATATGCTAGACTAATTGATTAGCAGGTGTTTGTCCTTGGAACAGTCTGTCTTCCTTGGATACTGTTCACAACCACTCTCTATGCTAACTTTGTAAGATTAAGTTGACTATCTTTGTATTGGAATTTACAATTGGACGACTAGCGTTTTTACCTTTTCAACAGGACTAAAAGACATTAGCGCGCGTAAGGTCGCTAAACAATGCGACGTTGTCAACTACTGAAACGACAACGTCGCTGCTTCCAAAATCTTAAAACTGTCTCCGGAAATTAGATCCGAGCGGTTATGCAACTTGGTTTTCAATCGAGTTTTTCTTAGTTTAACCGCGTGAGCCGAATATGATTTGATATTACGTGAGCTGAATATGATTTGATATTAATGAAACGACAAATCAACATCCAATTAACGCCTTATTGAACTATGTTCTGCAAAATCAACTCGTGTTTCTGATGTTATTTTCGATTTACCAATTTTGTAATCTTTTCTTACAATAGAAGGTTGCTCGCAAAAAAGGGGCGAGTTAATTGCTGCGTCAGGAGGTAAAATCCCCGAGATGGCAGGAGTCTAGGTATCATTACAATTGTTATGGGGGAACAGAGAGTAGTGGAAAAGCCCCAAAAAGTTACATGAAAACTAACGGCGTGTCGGTCAGAAACTGCTTCGTAAAATAGTTCAGCTCTGGTTCCTCCCCCTGCCTGTCATCCCCACCTTTCGTCTATCGGCTCTTTTTATTTTACCCTGAACTGCAAACTCTTACAAAAAAGTTTTTATGAAAGCTGGTCTTCATAAAGCGACCTTGTAAAACCACTCGTTACACCAAGACATTGATGCTGGTGTTGAATTGGGGGTGGGGTGGGGGGGGGGGGGCGAGGGGGTAGGAAAAAGACCGTGCATCAATTTTATGGTGGTTTTACAGGGCTAAGCATGGAGAGGAAACAATGGGTTTTTCCTTGCCTAATTAGCCCGCATGTCAATTTTCATTACAACAAGACAATGTCAACAGTTGTTTTTTTTTCAAAATTTGTGGGGGATTGAAAAAGAGCCGATTTTTTTACGAGGTCCACCTTTGGCCGACACGCCATTAGTTCCAATATAAACTATTTTCGGGGAGGTAGAGGAGGTACGTTTTCTTTCGAAATCCAACATCCCCTCTCCCTCCCCCCTTCAATTAAAAGCCTATGAAAATAGAAAATATGCCAGATACAAGGAAAAGAGGAAGTAAAAACAATTTTCAAAGTTTGGAAAACTCATAGTTTGCTGGGATGTTTTTAAGGGAGAGAGCGTTGACTTGTTTCTGAACTGGTATCTGCCAAAACAATTGCCAGTTTGAGTTGTGCGTGTGGGGAGTTGCACCAGTCAGCTTTTGTCCCGCCACAGGTGCTGGGAATGGTGGATAAGTCAGTCCTGGCGATGATGCCATTTTGATTACTTGGTTAGGTCAGTTTTCCTAGTATTTTCTCTTAGTTCCGGCTGAGTTTAAACTAAACAAATTTTGTTATTATGCACATGCTTTCCTTACGCTTTTCATTTGAAGTCATCGAAAAGTTCTGTTATTTTTGTCACCACCTCATAAAAAAACTAAAACTCCCAAAAAGTTGGCTCGCAAAATTTAAGTCCAGGATTCACTCTTCTGCTTATGGCTCTTTTTCCTTTTCGCCCCCACCTCACATCAGAATCAGTTTCTGTGTAACGAATGGTTTTACAAAGTTGAGTATGAAGACCAAATATGTCTGCCATGGCCTAATTAGTCCGTATGCCAAATTTCATAACGATCAGACAATCCGACAATGTGAATAGAAAGATTACTCTAAGAAATTTGCAGGGGGGAGGAAAAAGAGCCCGGCTTTTTTTCAGTCCCCTCTCCCCTTCTGTTTCAATTCATTAAGGTACATTTTTTGCTGACCTTTAGTCACCCTCCTAGTCCAACATTCGTCCCTTTCCGTCTCTCCAGTATATGACCCCCTTCCTTCACTTTTACCCCTCCTCGTATTTTGACTAACCTCCTACACTCGCGTTTATGATTTCTTAATCACCACCCACGTTCCCTCCTACCAACTTCTTTGTAAATTAAGCAACTTTTTCTACCCCCCCCCCCCCCCCCTCCCACTTCACACGACCATCAATTTTATGGTGTAACGATAATGGTGGCGTGAAAGGGGATGGGGGTGTGGAAGGGGCTTGAGTGTGAAAGCAGGGGCCGATGTCAAACGTTGGAGGTGTACATGCGGATGAACAAGTTCCTTCCATTACAGTTTTGCAGAATTGCAGAACGCTGCAAAAATAAGAGTACACAGTCCCGTCTCCAAAAAAGTAATCGATTTTTTAATGGATATATGAACATATAGCAATTGATGACATTAAAACCAAAAATAGGTTTTAATCGATTGAAAAAACAATCGATTAAACTTACCTAGAAATCAATTCTTTTTGTTAAATGGGTCATAATAATTGATTATCTTCATCTTGCATAAGTTTTTTGCCAATTTAGTCCATTAAAATTGTTTACTTCTTATAAAACTCTACAGCGCTTGGAAGGTTTTTTTTCTTCAGTCAAATTTTGGCGGTAGTTTTCATCAAAAAAAATAATACTCCCTAATGGTGACCTAATTATCTAATTAATTTGATCATACTTTCATTCATGCCTTATAGCGAAAAAGCACGCCATTATTGGACAAGCAAATGAATTGGAATTTGGGTGTAACAACTAGATCTTTCCGACGCTATAGCGTTAATGAGGGTTCAATTGGTTCCAATATATTCTAACTTCCAGGGGCAACATTTTAGTTTTTGAGCATGCTGTTGCGCATAAAGCTTCAAAAGTATATTTTCCATCAGAAAACTGCCGGTAAGCATATTTTTTTTACTAATTCATTTAGTCATTCTTCGTTTTCCCGCAAAGCTCAAAAAGTGAAATGGCCGACAAAAAATGTCGATTTTTTTTTCAACAAAGGCTGTATCATTTTTTTGCCTTTTTCAAAAGCACTCTCTCGAGCATAAGATCGTTGATAAGGTTACACTGTTTACCAAATATGAAACGAGTGTTCCGCCCAGCCGATTAGTTTTTGATGTGGCTCAAAATTGGTGGCCATATGCTGAAAACGTTCTACGCATCGTACGTAAGTAGCAATTCTTAACGAATATATTCATCTGTACATTCTGATCTGCTTATAGAAACGAATTTAGTTTTGATGTATTTTCTTGTCAATAGAACACGTTTGAGAAAATCGCGTTTTAGTGTGGTATTGTTAAAAAGTGATTGATTTGGTTGCGGCGTTCTTAATAAATTATAAATAAAAAGATATTAGCTTTTATTTGTGTTGTTTATCATGTCTCGAGACGGGGCAGTTTTCATAGCGGGCTGCAATAAATGCAGCGAGGTAACTTTAATTTTGTCCATCTAAAGTTTCTATTAAAAAATGAAAAAAATTCAGAAGACAATCTGAAACAATCTAAAAACTATCATTAAACCATTTTTCTGGGTTTTCGTTTTCAAAAGTCGAAAGACATGTTTTCGATTAAATGTTTTTCTTATAAAGAAGAATTCGATATTAGATAGTTTTTTTCTACATAAATAAATTTGTTTCATAATTTTTGCTTCCTTTTGCATCATTTTCTTAACTTTTTGTGCAATAAATTTGTAGAAAATCTTCGACATCTCTGTGAATGACGGAGACGAGAAATTCCACGACGAGTGTTTCCTCTGCGACTTCCGGGACAGTTCATTCGAGTGCAACAAACAGCTGAAGAATCTCGAATTTCATCGGAAGGGAGGCAAACGCTTCTGTTCCCAGTGCTATGCGGACTTCATCGCCGAAACATGCCACAAGTGCACCCAAAAGATTATTGGTCAGTAGTGTTATTGGTCAGGGTGAGGGAGATTGGTTGATTGCAATTTACAGTATTTGTTGCGGAAAAAATCAAATTGTGTTTTTGGAACGAACTGTGGTTTTGGCTAACTTTCTGGATTTTGCTGCACTAGGGACGCGCATGATGCGGACGCAGGGCGACAACAAGCACTTCCACTTCGACTGTTTCACCTGTGTCAAGTGTCCCCCCTCGCAGAACCAGATAGGGGAGCTGCCCTTCACCAGAGTGGGCGGGGATTTCGTCTGTCAGAAGTGCTACAAGATCGAACACCCAGACAAGGAGTGCAAGATATGCGGAGACGTAAGATACTACTCATCGCAATTACAGAGCTGATTGAAATTATTCGGACAAAACTAAACAAATTGGAAACTTTAAAGGCGTTTTTCTCAAGTTGGCTGAGCATAAGACGAAAATTCATCAGAAATAATTTACTAGATGGTGTAATTTGAAATTCGTAATTCGCACTCAAAAAATTCCCCCAAAAACTGGGAGTTTTTGGTTTCTTTTAGTCAATCAAGCAGTAAGCCCAAATTAACAAATCAATTAGGCAACTTTTGAGCAAACTTTATCAAAGTGAGCCTCCTATGTAGAACAATCAAATTTGAGAGGTGTACATGTAAAACAATCAAAATTGAGAGGTGTACAATCTACTGAGTTCTGTACAAAGAAATACATTTTACTAAGAGAACCAAAAATGTAAGTCTACGAGAAAGTTTTTGGAGATTAAACCCTTTTGAAACTTGATTGGGTTATTTGAAAGGCTAACTTTGATTTAAATTGCTCAAAGATTGATCCAGCTAATTGGCGTATTTTTTATCAACTAAAAAGAGCCAAAACAAAATTCTTTTTGAGGTAAATTTTATTTCCAAACCTCACAGAACAAATTGCGCAATAATATTTTTAGTAGTGTTTTTAAACAGCTGTTCTCACAAAGTTTTGTCTAATGTCAATCCAATTGGAGGAAAACGCCTTTAAAGTTTTAAATGTGTTCGTTTTGTCCGAATAGTACGAATTCAGCACTGATCTCAAAACCTCAGATAAATAAATTGAGAGTAATAAGCCACCCCAAGTATAAACCAACCAAAAATGCGCGGAGTATATGAGCTAGACGAAAAATTAGATCATATGAATGAAATTGCATAATTTTTGTAGCTGTTACATAATTGTTACAAAACTATTAAAAAGCACTCACGTATTTTCGGCTAATTGATACTCCGGCTGGTTTATACTTCCGCTGGTTTATATATCATCAAATAGTTTGTTCACTGAAAATAGTGAGAAGCTTTGTCTTTGGGTGTGTTTTAGTGTTTAGTCAGGATCAAATCATAATTGAAATTGGTGGAGTAAAATAGAATTTTACAGCTCTCTTAGCCATAATTCAGCAAAACATTCTAGACAACAAGAGAAAATGGTTTTAATTTTTTGCTTCTTAGTATATTTTTGAGCGAGTAAAGAAAGCGAGTATTCTTGAAAAAAGTTATTTAGGCCAAGAAAAATTTAGGTTTTCTTCAATTTTAATAAAAGTTTTTAAAAAGTCATGTAGTGCCTCCTTGGCAGGGTATTATTTTCAATGTAACCGAGAAAAGATTTGAGTTTTTTTTCGTTTTGTTTTTCATTTTTCGAAAACAACTCTAATCGATTATGACTTATTTACTGATGTTCTGTGCTTTCGTCACTCCTCTCATCCCACACGCAATCAAAACTCGGCATCAATTTCAAAAAAAACATAAAAAATTGAACCCTGGTCAGAAAAAGAATTGAGCCTTGGCAAGAACTGAGCCTTGGCATGAACTGAACCTTGGCAATAAACAGATATCAAGAAGAATCGAAAAGTATATTTGAAAAAAATTCAGATTTTTTTTTCATTTTTTTTTGTTCTGTTCAGATTTTCAATGTGGAGGACATTTGCAATAGTAAAAATTTAGTGAATTAGGCACAAACGGCAAAAATTTGTTTTTTAGACTTTGTTTCAATTTTTCACACTACAAATTTTGAATATTTTTGAATTTTTTTAAAGCTTAAAAAACTAGTTTTTTTGTGAAACCAAATTTTTAGCTTATATTGCTAATTTTTATATAATCCAAATGTCATTTGATTGCTTTATTCGCTCAAAAAAAGACGAAAAATCAAAAATTTCAAACTGGTTCCTCTCGAAACTAGAAAAATTTGTTGGAAATTTTTTAACGTCGTTCGAATCATGACTGAAGACTTTTAATTTGATATCACTCGACCCTGTCCATTAATTTTTTGTGGTAAGTGATTTGTGCGGAAAACAAAAAAAATGAAAAAATGAAAAAGAAAACTAAAACACAACCGAATACAAAGTTCCTCCCCATTTTCAATGGTAGGAACAATGATTAATTTACTAGCGTTCTAAGCATTGTCGTTTCTTTTATCACACCCACGCTCAAAAAACGGCACGGATTTGAAAACAAATGTAAGTTTTTTTTGAATGTGATCGAAACTGATGCTTTTATGAAAGTGAACGCGGTAAACATATTTTATAAATGTTGTTACTTGCACAACAACCAGCTTTTCTTTTTTTATTTCTGAATGCTAAAAATGACGCCGACACAACTTATCGGTTGACGACTACTTATCTTATCACAGTTTAAAGCTATTGTCACTGATTTTTGCAAAAGGGCGTTTTTTCAAAAAAAAATTTGTCGTTTTTTCTCTACGTCAAGCCACTTGAAATTGCTAGTTTTTCGAAAACACTATCAAGAACATATTTCGATAAAATATAAAGTTTTCGATGCAGCAAGCCAATAGATAAAAAAAGTCGCACTAAAATTGAGTATATATTGGCGCAGAAGGCTTCTCAAGCAAAAACTTAAGGTCGATCAGGCAAAAACTGACCTCAAAATTGACATCCTTTGGTTGGGTAGGAGGATGAGTTCCTGGGGAGGGGTAAAGCGTTTTCCAAATCCGTTACTGAACTCGATCGTTTCTAAAAACATAGAGTATTTAATTTTATGTCAGCAGTGGCGTAATGATTGCGTAATAACTACATAGGAATATTGCGTAACGTATAGGAGTTGATTGCGTAGGTGATTACATCATCGGCAGTGAAGGACAACCTAGGCAGCATCTACCACAGAGGCTGCTTCACTTGTGCCGTTTGTGAGCACGAACTGGCAGGGAAGAAGTACATTAACAGGGACAGTGAGAGGTACTGCAAGGACTGCTTCGACTCACACAAGGCACCCCTCTGCTGCAAGTGCGAAAACAGAATCAAGTCCGACGGTAACTTTCAACTCTCATCTCACCAATGTAAAAAGAAACAAAAAGTGGGTTGTTCCCACTCTCAACTGCATAAGGTGGATTTTTCCCCAATTTTAGGAGCCTTCTTAGGAAAACAGGGAGAGAAGTTCTTGTGTCATATTATTAAAGACCTGTTGCTTGTAACTCAGAATCCTAATTAAATTTTTTGGGTAAAAATTTTCCTAAAAACCACTCAAAAACAGCCATTTTGTATTTTTGTACCAAAAAGTTCGCCTGCGATCTTTTTGCGATTTTGAACTTAATACTTCGAAATAACTGGCCTAAAAATATCGGCAAAAATTTTCAAAAAATGCCGACAAAAAATACCCACGCATGCCACTGCTGCGCCGAAATGAGGAGCATCTATCATCCAATCAGAGCCTCGAGGGCGGAGTGTTGTTCTCGAACGGTTTCCTGTTGGTTATTTCTCGTTCATTAACGTCCATTATCACGTCCATGACGTAAATTTTTTTTGTTGAAAAAACTGAGGATACCTAATAAGAAATAATTCAGAGTTAATTTGAAAGAGATTTTTTTGTCGTTCCTGCGATTCGCAGAGGACTATGAAAGGTTTTGCAGCCTGTCTAAGCATAGTCCGTTTCTCTTTTTCCCCCACATTCCAGACTGAGTTATTTTGTTGAGCGAAGCTCTTTTTACGACTCAAGGACGTTTTTTTGCGGCTAGAACTATCACGTGGTACCACTATTCCAGCCGAAGGTCAGGCTGTGGTAGACCTGACGCTGGAGTTCAAGTGAGCGCTCGTCTTCACACATTAACATCGATTACACGATCTGACGATCTCGAGGTGAACTCCTTACCACTATGCTAAGTGCGTCCCGTTAAAAATAGGTCTTTATGTATTAGCCCAGCAGAATTGATGCTTTTTTAGCCCAAGTGCTGACTTATTCTCAGAGGAGCTACTGCAGGGACTGCTTCATATGCCACTCGTGTGAGAGATCACTGGCCAACAAGTCCTTCTATGACCTCGGAGACCAAGTGGGGTTCGAGTGCACGGAGAAAGACGAACGTGGAAACTGCAAGTGATGCAACAGCTAAGATTCTAGAATATACTGAAAGTTTCTAGATTGTTCCTGGAGCAATAATGTAATTTCAATCGGAACTATAGCAGATGTGAAATACCATTTTCAAGAATTTGAAGAATATTATTTTTGGCCTTAAAACTTGGCAACTGTAAATAAAAGCTTGTACAGATTTATTTTGAATTCAAATTTAAGTTCAATTAGGATATAAAATTTTTCACTAGCTTTTTATATATAGAACTGATCGTTTTTGCGGCATGAAAAAAATGACCAAGCTAAACTTCACTGAGAGGTTTAAAGAAAGATTTGAAAAACATTATATTAGAATAACGTAGTCTTTTTAACATCCAGATTCTAGCTAAGATAGTTAGCACAATTTTAACTAAAATCACACAAAGCATTGTTTTAATTAAGGCGATAATTTGTCGATGATCTAACCTACGATTTCTTCAGAACAAACATTAATTAATAAAACTGTCGCTTTGCCGCATTGTCGTTTTAAAATTTTAAACCAAACTGAGTTTTTGTGGCTTCTGAAATCCGGAATCCTGCGCTCTCAGCAAAATCTAATGATCTCCGAGTTTTTGTGTGAAACGATTTTCTTGTTGAACCGCATATAATTCTCCAAATGCCGTCGTAAATGGCAGTTTTTTTTAAACCAATTTACAGCAAGTTTGAAAATTGACTTGCATTGATTTGGAGACAGCGTCTCTCAATTGGTAAATGTGTCATCGTTTTTGTTCACGTCATGAATCAGATTCCAACTGAAGTAATTTCGGATGTTCTCTCTGGCTAAACTGGAGTGTTCTGCGGACTGAGGTTGTTGATCGCGTGCTGATTGACATTTGCGGCAGTTTGGTGATGCGAACTACAACAAACCGGTCAGTCATTTTCTAGGCAACACAATCTCGGGTGAAAATTATTTAGGGTATAATAGCAGTCAAGTTGGATTTTTTTAAAATCCCTCTCCCCCCTCCTCCCATTGCAAAAGGAGGGATTGGTTACAAAATACAAAATATAAATAAGATTAACCGTTGAATTATAGTTATTTAAGGGGTGGCCATTCTTTACTAGGTACCGGCGGGGGGAGGGGGGAGGGGAGAGGGGATAGTTAACAAGATGCGAAAAGGTTAAGATAATATAAACTTCTGACGGGGGAGGGACAAGGTAAAAGAAGAGACATTCAATGAAGTTATCCTTATTTTGAAGTTATTCTTCAATGAATTCATTCTTCTTTCTTTATGCAAAAAGTCACCCGGTAGTGTTGTGTTGGTTGAAGTAGGAAAGGTAGAATCTCCTGTCGTGTCTGCTGGAGTCAAATGGCCTCTCCGATATGTTGAACATGGGCACTCTGGCCACATACACGATGAGAGACAGGGCTTCCTGCTTCAGCTGGAACACCATGCCCTCCTGTATACGAAACAAGACTCCTTTTAACAAATCAATTATGGCAAATAAGCTTCTTTCAATCAATTTGAAACAATTTCTAAGACGGATTAAATCTCCGCTTACGCGTTAATAGTGCGAAACCAATCGCGCGTTAATTGTCCCAAATTGGCCAAAATGGCCATCTTTAAACCCCCATAACTTTACAAAAAATGATCACAGGTGAAATATCTTTTCAAATTTAAGCTCAGGACAACAATACGCGTTTTGAATGATATAAAAAAACCGTTAAAAATGGCTAGTTAAACAATTTGTCGGATAAAAAACATTTAGTAGATTCCATAGGGGGAAAAAGATCATTAAGTAGATCGATCCCTTTTATCTGAGATGGATTTTTTTTCCAGTCTAACCCACTCAAAGGGTTTAAACAATTGTGGAGGGAGCCAAAATGATAAGTAACGGATGAAATTAGCATCCCTACTCCGTCCGACTTCAAAATAGAACAAAATAAGATCTTCCGCCCCAGCCTATAAAATGGATTATGCTTGATTCTTGTCCGTGGAAAACTTAGAACCCTTCTGAACTGAATTGCTTTTTTGGGGGGGGGGATTTGTTTACTTGGGCCGCAGAAGTTTTCACAATTTATCTTGTTTATTTTTTTATTCCAAAAGAGACTGCGCAAATGAAGTGAACTTTAGTTTTCACAGGCTGTGTAGGATATAAGCAACATTTACATAAAGTGCTGATTTAAAGTATCCGGACAAAACGCATAAATATTGAAAATTGAAACGCGTTTTTCTCAAATTGGGCTGACTTTAGACAAAAAGTAATAGGACAAGCTTCCTCAGGGTTTTAGCAGAACTTTAACGATGCAATTTGTTTTGCAAAAGTCAGGCCCAAAATTTTACTCGAAAAACGCATCATTTTGGACTTTTCAGTCAATTAAAAGTTACACCAAAACAAGGAAATCTATTTCTGTCAAAAATCTACAAAAACGAGCCTTCTAAGGACCCAAAAAAAATTTTGACTTTTGCAAAACAAATTGCATCATTAAAGTTCTGCTAAAACCTTGAGGAAGTTTGTCCTATTACTTTTTGTCTAAAGTCAACCAATTTGAGAAAAACGCGCTTTAATTTTCAATATTTATGCGTTTTGTCCGGATACTTTAAATCAGCACTTAATGTAAATGTTGCTTATATCCTACACAGCCTGTGAAAACTAAAGTTCACTTCACTTGCGTAGTCTCTTTTGGAATAAAAAAATAAACAAGATAAAATGTGAAAACTTCTGCGGCCCAAGTGAACAAATCCCCCCCCAAAAAAGCAATTCATTTCAGAAGGGGTTCTAAGTTTTCCACCGACAAGAATCAAACATAATCCATTTTATAGGCTGGGGTGGAAGATCTTATTTTGTTCTATTTTGGAGTCGGATGGAGTAGGGATGCTAATTTCATCCGTTACTTATCATTTTGGCTCCCTTCACAATTGTTCAGACCCTTTGAGAGGGTTAGACTGGAAAAAAATCCATCTCAGATAAAAGGGATCTACTTAATGATCTTTTTCCCCCTATGGAATCTACATAAGATTTTTTACCCCCTTAACTAAATACAGTATTTTAGCACTAAAGCTTTGTATTGTGAAATCTAATTTTGATGCGTTCTCATTGATCGAAAGTTTCACTAGCCTGATCTGCTTAACAATCTCCCCCATTCCTTGAAAAGGGAGAGATTGTTACACAGATACGATAAAAGTTCCATCCGCCCAATAAATTGTCACAAATAGTACCGGTTAAGAAAATTTGACAAAAAAAAATTTTGACTGCTTGATTTTTGGCCCCCGAGAGCCAATTTAAAATAGGTAGGTAAGTGTTGAAAATGAAGTCGCATAGGAATTTTACAAAAATTGGTCCCTTGTGAAATATTTTTTAAATTGAACTGAACACAACAATATCTTTCTAATGATGAAAAAAAAAATTGCCCAAAATTGCTGGTTAAAAAAGTCAAAAACTGTCTGGAGAAAAAACGCCCAAGCACAAACATTTCTTCATTTTCTTCAAATATTTTTTGTCATAAAAGTTTTTTGCTAACAAATGTTATTGCGATCGCTGGAACAGGTCAAAAAAAAGAACAACCAAGCATACATTTAATTTGTTTTCAAAAATTGGATCAGAAAACAGTGCAATACAAAAAATCAATTGACATTATGGTAAAACCTCCAACTAGCAAGCACTTTTGTCCCAATAAGTCATTCATGGAATATTCGCATATTCGTCACGCTTGGATTCGATGTTTATTCAGACCTTATTTGAAAAGTTATATAATCTAAACGGTACCATTGTCTTGAGCTCAGATGTAACAGAGGTGAAACGGAGCTTCACATCACTTGCAATAGAATGCAAGTGCAGCGTTGCAAGCTAACAAAAATAAAGATAAAATTAAATTATCAAAAAAAATGGGAAAAATAGAAAAGGTTTCAGAAAAACTGTCAAAAAACATAATCACCAACATAAAAAAAACGCTTTGTATTTACCGAGCGGCCCCTAAGCCAATAGAAAATGGGTAGACGCCTTTGAAGCGACAAAAAACTTTGCATCTAAGCCAATATAACAAAACGAAATTATTCAGTTCAAATTAAGTTTGTGGCAAAGACGGAAAATCAAAGAAAATATACAACGTCGAGGCTATTAGTTTTGAAAAATACTGAAATGAATCAAAAACCTTTTCAACGACAAGAAAAAAAGCTATAGTAGAAAAAATTCTTCAAAGTGGCAACTATGCCGAGACTCGATCACCAGACCTAAGTTTTTACACAGGCATCTGCATTACTTCCAGGCCAATTAGAAAAGCACCTGGAAGTTGTTCAGGTTCTATAATAATGGAAGTACGAAAAACAAGTAAGTATTTTGTAGACAAGTTGCTTACGGGAAAAACTTCTTGTTCCCAATTACAAGGCACTTGCTCTCACAAGTGTAAAAAGAGATTACATTTGAGATCTTTTATCTTTTTTCTACAGTTGTGGGGTTTTGGAAAATGCTAATTTGGCTCAGCTGGGATAATCAAAGTGTGATATATCGCGTTTTTATAAAAATAGCTTGCAATAAATATCAGTCTGAATTGAATTGAGGCAATTTGGTCTAGTTTATAGGCCATCAGACGCAAAATATATCACTTTCTACCTTGGTACATAGAATTTGGGTGGCTAAAATGTAGGAAAAAATTTACACAAAAAGCCGAACTTTTCGCTTTCATTTTCAAACATGTTCAAACATGAATTTTTTCAAATTCTTAAGGAGCAGTAGAAACATTCGAGGCTTCGCTTTGATACAAACAGCATTGTCAAAATTTAATGTCTGTTCTTATTCACAGAGCACAGCCAAGTTCAACCTAACTTATAGCTGCTTTTGAGGTGTCTTGAAATCAATTTGTCGTTCATGTTCTTGAGAAGCTTAATTTAAGTCACTATCTTACCATCTATCAAAACTTAACTGCAAACAGTCGTAGTCTGATTGTGCCATTTTTGATTGTTCAGTGTTTTAGCATATATAGTATGTTTAAACAAGAAAAACAAACCATACATTTTTTGTAAAACAAAGATATATTCCTTGTGATTGATAGCCAGGGGGGTCGAATGAGCCTTAAATTTTTTTAAATGCGCTTTTGGTTTCAATACATACTCATTTTGAGGGGGTATTTGATCGGTTTGGTCTAAATTTTCCACAAAATGCCCATCACGGTGTTTTAAAAGAGCTCAGAAAATCAATTAAGTCAATTTAAAAAACAGATTTTCAAAATTTTTGAAATTTTTTTGAAACTCCTTCGAAAAAGTCTAAATCCGCCCCTGAATAGGGCAAAGTAAACTTACTAGCTGAAAGTTAGGCTTGTTTGGTCGCAAAGTGTATTTTAATGCGAAGCAGCATAAAATAAAAAATTCTATACCGACTCAAAACCAATTAGACCTAACCTTGGTTTTTGAGCTCTCTCAGGAAATTTATAAGACAATGCGAAAAAAAATTGTATTTAGAAATGAAACACTTTATGAAGATAAACAATGAAGGCTATCGAATGAATACAGTCAAATTCAAATTCAATGTTCCCAGTGTTTTCGCTGCGATGAAATTTTTTCTCCAAATAGAACAAAATAGATTAAACAGAAATCATTTAGCGTTTTCAATTACAAGAAAAAAATTTTTACGAACATTTTGAAAAAATTGATAAAAACGTCAGAACTTTGACTTAAGTTATGATTAAAACCGTGATTCAAATTTGAATTCAGAGAATCAAGGTTGCAACTTCCAAATACCCGCCTCCCCCGTTGAAGCTAACCTGCAATGGTCTGTTGGGTACAAAATTGGACACAAGCTCCCATGAATTGGACATGGTATGATCAGTCACCACAGGCTCAGGCTTCAGAAACTTCTCCAGAAAAGCACGCGGGGTGAAGTTCAAAGTGATGCACGATTGAAGATGCTCCAACAGGTCTAAAATGAGGCGAGGAGCTCTTTTTTAAATTGTTAGTCATAGAAGACCGATCAAATTTGTAGAAAATGTTATTTTTATTAATAGCATTGCATTTTTGTCGAACTTTTGTTAAGTTCTCCTAATTTTAGCAAAATTTTCTGCGAACTGTACGCACATTTTTTGAATAAAACTTTTTGAGATAAGAGATTTTCAAAATGAAATCTGCAATTTTCTCCGTCATTGTTTGGACATGAAAAAAGAAACAATTGCAAGCTGGTCTAGCAAAACAAAATTTTACACCAAAAAACGAAACGGTGAAGAAAATTTGACAGCCATAATGAGGCAGTTATTTGATAAACTAGCAGAGTTTAGCTTAATATAAACTTGAATTTTGAATTTCGAAGTGGACAACCATTTCATCTGATTGTATGGAAAAGGAGGGAATTCAATTGAGAAAAAGGTGAGTGATTGTGCCTGATTGGCGGTAGAGGTGAGTCTGTCTAGTCACTCGCAGGTACTTGAGGAGAGCACGGGCCATGCTGGGCCAGATGGCCACTGCTGCATCTCTAGAGGACAGAGTGAGCATGGAGCGGGTGTCGTTGTTGTCACAGCGTCTGCAAATAAAACAAAACTGTTTGTATCACAGCGAAGCCCTGAGTGGTACTTATTTATTTGAAGCAGAGAAGAAAAAATGTTTTCAAAAAAATTGAAAATTTTTTGAAGACTTTCGTACTAACCGCAGACAAGAAGTACTAGGTACCACCAAACATTGCTTCAATTAAATGGTTCCCGAGTTAATAATTCCAAACTGCCAAACTGCGAAAATTTAAAACTCCAAAACATCACAAAAAAATTGTCTCAGAAGAAAAAACTTTGGTTTTGAGCTCAAGACATTAATTTATTTCATTTTGTATCAAAATTTGCGTCAAAAATAGTTTGCTCAAAAATAGTTTGCTTAAAATTTTTTTACGAACATTTTGAAAAAATTGATAAAAAGGCCAGAACTTTGACTTTTTTTTGGTTTTGAGCTCAAGACTTTTTTTTGAAAAAATTTTGGTTTTGAGCTCAAGACATTAATTTATTTCATTTTGTATCAAAATTTGCGTCAAAAATAGTTTGCTCAAAAATAGTTTGCTTAAAATTTTTTTACGAACATTTTCAAAATATTCTGGATAAAAATCGAGCGCCATATTTCATCATTTCTTCGAAAGAAGCCGGAACAAAGTGTTTTCTGTTGGCCAACTTTCAGTTTCAATCTTTTGAAAATCAATGCATCGTAAATACATTTAAACAACCAAAAAAATCAAAGGTGATTAAGCTTGGCTTACAATTTTCACCCAACCATCGTAAAAATTTTTCACCCAACCAGCGAACATCATAAGGCTAAAAAATCAAAAATTATTCAGGAATATGTAACTGAAAACGAGTAATCTACCTCCATTTAAATATTCGGAGTTGCTACCAGTTATTTTTTTAATTAAAATTAAAAATAATCTTAAAAAAATTATATTTTGAATCTCAGGAATCTAGCGGGTTTTTCGGTTTCACAAGTTCTTTCATATCCCATTAGGTTTTGAAAATTCCGCTCTACAATTTTGTATGCAGTTGAAAACATCTTGGCCGGGATGGGCAAAAAAATGGTAAATGGTTTTAACAAAAAAAAAGACTTTTTAAAAGTTCTATAGGATGCATAATTCAATCCCCCCAGTAAAGTAGATTTCAAATCTTATGATTTTAACAAAATTTCTTTTTTTTGCAAAAACCATTTACTATAATAGCCGCCAGCCCCGACCAATAAATTCAAATAAATATTTCCGAGAAAGTCAGTCGAGGATAAGCTCAGGATAAACAAGGCGGATAAGGGATAAACAATATTTCCATGATCAGGTGATAATGCAAGATAAATGCGAGATTCCTCAGGTTCCAGGTTCTTTTTCTAGGGTGAAATTACTCATATTTTGTCTGTTTGGGGTTAACTGCGATAAAAAGTCAATTTTGAGGTCGCACTTTAAAGTTTTTTTTTGGGAACTTGCAAAAAAAATTTAAAAAAATAATCTAATTAAACAGAAAAAGTCTTTATTCCGAGTTACACAACTGACATGGCAACAGTAGTTCTGAAAAATTAAACGAAAGATTTTTTTTGCAATTAAATTGAATTTTAATTGATTGAAAATGGAATATTTTGCTACAAAAACAAGTTTCATATTAATTCAAAATAGATCGATTATAATCTATTATATTGGGATTTTATTGCCTAAAAAATACTATATAATAGTCTAAATAATAGATATGCAGGAAATACAGTTGTTTTTCAGCAAATAAAAAACAATCTTGGCGCGCTCGTTTTTATTCCTATTTTGAAACTGGGCATAATAAGTTAAGTAGCAAAATGTGGGCAGGTCGTAAACTAGACACGTCGTAAGCCAATCAATCAGACTCGCAAAAAAACTTTCGCAAAAATTTTGTTGTTTCGTAGAGTGCTGACTTGAATTATCCGGACAAAAAAAACTTTAAACTTCAAACGCGTTTTTCTCAAATAGACAAACTAGACAAAAACTGAAGAGAGCAAAAGTTGTTTAGAATTTCACCAAAACTGATATGGTGCAATTTTGTCCCCAAAATTCCTACTAAAATTTTAACCCAACAATGGGTCATTTTGGCTTTGTGCAGTTGATCAAGAATTACGCTGTTTCTACCAGCTTAATTGATGAGAAAGTTATACCAAAATAAGTCGCTAACACAGTCTAACAAAACAGTTCAACAAATTCAACAAAAATCTAGAAAGAGTTTTTTTTATCTCACGTCTAAATGGTTTAGGGCGTTTCTATTTTATGACCGCCTTTCGCCAAAAGCACCTTTAAATTTTGCAAAAACTAAAGTGTGGATAGACAAAAGTTTTGATAATAAAAGTGTATATTTTAGCAGACATCCCCTTAACTCTCCAGAGTTAACAAGAAGCGGCTTAAGACTACGAAGCCCTTTGTCGGTTCAATATCGTCAGTTGGCGCGCTACGCCAGCTTTTTTGCAAATCGTCCATCCGATGGCTAGTTCCAGAGCAAAACGTTGTAATTGCGACTAGTAATGCAATCTTTGAATCAATTAAGTTGCCTCGATTCAGCTAATATGAGTTCTGCGCAGGATTAATACGAGCACGCTGCGCATGTATTGGAAACATCACGCCCCTATATCACCGCAAGCTGGTGAATTGATAACTTTCAAACGCTGAAAAGTTCACAAAAACAATCACAATTGAAATATCTTTTTCTATCAACTCAAGGCAAAAAACTTCGAGAGAAGCTACAAAAATTTGGCAACTACAATTTTTGCTAGGATGTACATTTCCAGATCAAAGCTTTTGCTTCATTTTAAAACTTTTGTTTTCGCCTAATATAGCTGCTCCACTCACTTGAGCTTTCAAGAGCGAAGTGTTATCTTTGCGACTAGTAATGCAATCTTTGAATTAATTATGTTGCCTCAATTCAGTATAAAAACTTTTTTTTTCAATTCAGGTTAACAAAATCTTAGCAATAGCAATAAAAGTTTGGCGGCAGTAAAAAGTCATCACGAAAAAAATCAATAGTTGAAATCCAAAAAACGGACAAAAAAAACTCTCGTAATTTATTTAAAGCCAAATTGTTGGCAATATTGGTGGCCTTGAGCAGTTGAATCGGTTAAAACTTATAGCTTTTTAGGTTATTTAATTTTCCAGAAACCGTTTCTACGTGTGGAAATAGGTAATAAGCTGAAATTCTACGTCAAAATGAGCATTCTTGGGTTAATTAACTTCGTTCAGATTCGTTGACCGAAAAGATATTGCCAACAATTTGGCATTGACTAAATAAATGTTACCTTATATGATAGAAAGCCTCCTCCACAGCCACAATAAGCCTCGCTCTCCTCTTGGACACCTTCACTTCATACTCTTGCTCCTCGTAGAATCTCTCGTTTCTACTCCACTCCCGCCGCCGCGCACTGGCCGCCATGATAGCACGGGAGTTTGAAATGAGACTTGTGGATCCACCCGCCGCTGCTGCTGCTGCTGCTGCTGCGCTACGGGAGGCATCGCCAGGTTGTCCAGGGGTCGTGGCAGTGTTGGATGAAGTGGGCCCCGGGGTTCCGTCGATGTCGTAGACTTGATACTTAGTGCCAGAGTTGTTGCCGGCGGCGTCTGATTTTCGGGACGGAACCTATCACAGTCGTATATCAAGAAGTATGATTCATGAGCTTAAATGGACCCCCTCACCAACCAAAGGTCTCGCCTTTGGTATTATTTGATGACATTCATTTTAGACCAACCAATCCTAAACTTTTCTAAAGGCGCCTTTGGCGCCAATATTTACTAACTTTGAATGAAAGTGCGCGCCGAAAAAACGCAAATTTTTTTTGTCAAAATTTTTCAAAAAGTGCCAAAACACGGCATTTTTGACCTGTTTTTTTTTTTAGAAATTTGACTGCGGCGCAAAATTTTTGGCCAAAATAATGTTTTTATGGTGTTACGGGAGCGTTCGGAAAATCAATTTAAACACTGTTCGAGCATTTTTTGAAAATCCACCCTCTCGAGAAAATCCTAGATCCGCCCCTGCTGTTTGATTTGACTATTTATGTTTGCACTGAATGAAACTTGAAGTTATGAAATCAAATTGTGTTGACTTGACATGTGGACTACCGGATATGTCGGCCAGGAATTTTTTTTCAGTACTAGTTCAGGAAATTTTTCAGATACAGTTACTTAGAAATACAGTTTTCATGTATTTCTAAGTATTTCATAAGCTTTAATGTTTCAGTTGACCTTGAGTAGGTATGGGTTGTAGATTGGGAAGTCTCTGTAGTAGTTCTGCAGAATCCACAGAGCACTGTTCTGGATGCTCAGTCTACCCACACTGTAGAATTTACTCTCTCCGTCTGTATTGCGCACCACCTACACACAACACAACTCCTCTGGATCATTTTCTGAAGTTCCCAAGTTTGTTTTAGTCGAAGTTTGAATTTTGTTGCATGGCGTGGTGGAGAATTTGTAATAATTGTGCCCAGCAATCATATGATTGCGGGTTGAAATCATATGTGCATTGCAATTTATAATGTGAGCTCTTGTAGGACAGCCATGGCTTAGTTAAACCTAGAATATATCACCTCCGGTTTGCCTCTTGCTTTTCAAGGTTTGTCTCATCAAATTGTAGAATTATTTGCTCGTACTGGACTAATAAGTGATTATAGAACGAATAGAATAGAAATCACAGTAATGGATTAAAATAGGTTTTAATGGACTATAACAGATTACAAAGGATTATAAAAGTCGGAGCTGGATTTTCAAAAAACTTGACATAAAACATTCGAAACTGAACATTGCATTCGCTTTGTTTTGTTTTACATTTGGCTACAGCAAAAAGTTGTAATGTTTACCACTTGGCTTCTGTGTGTTTGTCTCCCATCTTCTCAAAAAATCAACTTACTTCCCATCATTCTTACTTTC